AAGATTGCCACATTTATTATACCAACAAAGTAGCACATCATCATACTATTTTTAATAAGTAACAGTATATCATCAATACAGAATAAAACTGTAATTTCCTATCATTTGTTTGATTTGTTATACTGTCATTTATCTGGCCTAGTGGTGGTAAACTGTGCATGGATCAAACGTTTCTTTCCCTGCCAGAAGATTTTCAAAATTTTGCTCTCTTACTTTAATATGTAACTATATTTAAGCATTTGAATGTTTCGTACTAAACTTAAGTATTCCATTTATTATGCTTTTCTAAATGGTATACCTCGGTCAAAGACATACCATTTTTGTTTCTTCAGGAATTGCATCAAGCTATTCTTAAATTGCAATGCCTGAAGTTTCACCACTCCTTTTGCTTTATGCACAATTTGAATGAGACAGACAGGTAATGTTAGTACATGTAAACAGTTCTGAGAGCCAGTCTGACTTCTGAATCACCTGCTAAATGAGGTGGAATTCAGTTGAAAGTCTGAATCACCTGCAAGTCATTGTTATCTTCGGGAAGCATTGATAGTCCTCAGTCCATGTGGCAGTTTTTGGATTTGTTGTTTATTTTGTTGATGTTTACTTCTGATGTAATTCTGATCACATGGTGCAAAAATCTTTCAGAGATTCAAGTTCAGGTGGTGCATGTTTGTTCTTTGCCAAAAAGTATGAAAAAAAAAATCCAATGGAAGACTGTCCTCATTCATCTGCAATACTGCAGAAAGTTTGTAGATCTGTACTGTGATGCCTGGCATACTTGAAACATCATCACTGAATTCTTGGTAATTATTGTTATTTTCTCTTTGATATACAATTTTGATCACTGTTGGGAGGTGATAAATGCTGACAGGTGCAAAGTCTAATCATTTTTGTTGCATCATTGCTCACATGGAGAATTATGCTTGTATGCATAAGGATGCATATCGGTGATCTACATGCACACAATACAACATTATTATTTCAAAGAAACACCATAAATCTGATTTAGCTAAATGAAGAAGATTTTGAAGTTGGAGAGTTTGAAGGGTTGCTAGACAGAAGCCTCATCCTATGCTGACAGACAGACACCTGTGAAAACCTATAAAGATCTTCAATTTTATCTCTACATCTTCAAGTCTATCAAACTGTAAACATCTGCTGCAGACACCATGCCGTTTTCAAATTAAATAAAATCTGATGCATTCTTTGACAAACATAAAATTGCCCAAATTCTCCAAGATCTCTTATGATTGATTCCTATGAAGGATTGGTATCATATCTTAAGGACTTGCCTCATGGTGAAATGTTTTTTTAGCTATAACACATTTCAAAAACTGTTAGCTACATTCCAGCAAATTTTGGTTTGGGGATTTGTTGGAAATTGAAAAAAAGCAACATGCTGATAATTCAATTGTACACATGGCTTGGATTTTACTTCATAAACATTTTAAAGATTATCATTTTTAATGTTCTTATAGTAATTTATTGAATTTACTTATTTACAGATTTAGCATAAAAGTTCTTTTAATATTTAGACAATGCTTTAAGTAAGGAAGCCCAAACACTTTTGTTGGTGCTCTGATTTTCCCCATTGTCTGTAGTTGGTATAAAACTTTCTAGAACACAGTAAATTTTGGATTGATGGCTGCCGATAAAGACAGGTACATGTTAACAGTTTGTCTGATAAGTAAGGTGTAAAAACTTTTCATTAAGACAAACATTTCACCTGTCAACATTTTGATGCCTATTCTGCATTGATGGATTCCTCTCATCATTTCTGGGGTAGGAAATAGGATAACTGCTTCCTCCTGTCATTTCCTAATGCATTCTTCACAATGTCAGTATGTCTGCTATTTACTTATAGGAGGAGGTCAGCTGAGGAGTGTTTGCCTCCCCTTAAATAAATCTAGAGGTGTTTCTTTGCCAGTTACTTTTCTTGGATGCTTGACTGTGCACTTTAATTCACCAATAAATGGAATTGGTCCACAAGATATACATGTACTACAAAATTACCCTAATATTTTGTGGAATTTGACAGAAAAATAAACATGATTTGTAACTCTTCATCTTTAATGGCTCTGTTTTCACTAATGTAGGGAAGTTATTTGATATGATACACTATCTAATCATTGGTATATAATGTTATAAGGGGGAGAGGATGAAGGTATAAATTTTAACAATTTATCAAACTTCAGCAATGTCAGGCACCTGATTATATTCATCAGTGGCCATTTGAAACATTTGCCTGTCAAATACTTCATTATATCACTCTAGAACTTGATAGGCAAGAAAGTAGATAGTGAAAAACAACATCAGTGTAAAGATAAGGGAAATTGTAAGTGACTTTTTAATTGTGAAATATCTGTGAGGTATGCATTAGAGAAGTCCTTACTAACCCAGATTTTTAAGAACTGCACTGTTGCTATTTGACTACAGAAAGGTCGTAAATTCATGAACTGATTATGTAGAACTTTTTGATAAGGATTATCTCCCTTTTTTAGTTGGAGGTCTGCTGGAATGATGATGAATATTTAGAAAGAAAAATAATGATGTTGAGTTATTTCCCTTTTATGTGGGGAAAGACCAGTCTTTTATGGTACCTGTAGTTAAACCCAGGGTACACGTGTATGGAACTTTATCTTGGAGTGGGAGAGGCATTATCCATGTATGGCAGAGGGTCATATTAATTTCCCTAAATAGAATCAGCTCTTTGAGTAATATATCAGGTGCTCAACTTAATTATCATTTATTACTGCTAATTGCTCTCAGCATTTTATCACATTTTTGAGGAAACATTGGGTGTTGAGAGAAAGATATGAAAGATTTTGACAATTGATACATTTAATTAGTCTTCAGATAATTTTTTTTTCCAAAAAAGCTCACGGGCTTGGTAACACTTAAGAATTTTCCTTACTGCTACTGAAATGACTTCCAATTAAAAAAGTCTTAGAATGATATTAATTTTCTGTCCGTGTAAAACTTGCAGCTGGTCCCCCCATCATAAACCAGTGTTCTTCCTGATCATTAGTGGATAAAGAAAATCTGGATAATTCTCATCACTTCCAACATCAGCCATTACCAAGGGAGGGAACTGGGTATCATATTTTTCCATCAAGTCTTCTCTTAATCAGTGGAAAGTTTTTCATGTTTGATTTTATCTGCAGAGGAAAGTTGAAAAGATTTGAGACATCAATTTTTGGGTATATCCCGATTTTGTGTGATAACCCACTTTAATTCGTCTGCAGGAGAGGAGGCAAAAAAATTATGTATTTGCAATCAAGCTTTGCCCAGCAAGATTTGACATTTATCTTTCCTTTACTAAACATTTCGTCTTGGAAGCTTCCCAATTTCAATTTTCCCTATCATTTTAATGGTCAAAAACTGCATTAAAACACCCTGATCTTGTTTCACTTCAGAAAGTGCAATACGTGGATGCCTGCAACTGCTTGCATGAAGATAGTATGGTTTCTCAGAATTAATCTTTCCTTGCTTAAAAAATTTGCAGGTATTTCAGTGACATGAACACATTGTCAGTCTACCATGGTCAGAGTTTACTTTGATATCTTTCTTGCTGATTTTGTTGTTGTTGTAAGCCTTTCATGATTAAGATTTTGTTTTATGATGAAATAATATACCTTTACACAAATTTTATTTATGGTTAAAGTAGAATGAATTTGTTTGGGTTTGGAATCTATTGTGGATAAATCAATTTTTATTGTATCAGTACACAAATTACTACAAACTCTTGGAGCATTAGGGGGCTATAAAAGAGAGAAATGATAATGGTCTCTGCCTCTCCTTGCCTATAAATCTACCCTAAGGCTATAAAGTTTTTCTTACACACTTGTCTGGGATTCCACGGACTTCAGTAAATTGGACTTACAGAAATGAGACTTGCAAGTCTATTCCCATGTTTTTGTTGTACCTTTCTTTCCAATTTTATTGAATGGATGGAGAAGACAGAGTTTATTTGGAAGTTGGGGATTCCACTGTGTTAGTGGAGACAATAAAATCACAGTTTTGATTAATTAACCCTGCCAATCGATAGAAGGTGATTAATTAAATTTCTCGCCCTCACACAACAAACATCACAGAATGCAGGGAAAGTGCTCTTAAAGATAGGAGAAAAGATGACAAATGCAGCACTTTATTACATTATAAATAGAAATTTAGATAATATGCAAAAAAATTCCTTGTTGTTATCTTCATCTTGTATTTTGAGCACTGCTTGACCTTTTATACTGGAATGAAAAAAAGGAAATGAGATGTTATGTAGAGATGGGGCTATTTCACTCCTACAATATTGACAGAAGACCAAGCTGAGGCAGCGCAGGGTAGAAACAAGATCCAGCCAAACAATTTCCTATCTGATTGTGTTAACCTAAAGGTCTATCTCTGTTGCTCGCAAATGTAACAATATTAAATATCATAATTTGATTGAATGGGCAGGCTAAATTCAAACAATCGAAAATATTTTATGTAATTATATTCCTTGCATTGCATTTATACACTCCATTAGTTTGTGGGAAGTCTAATGTCAGAAACGCTGAATAGTTTTGTTTTTAAAGTGCTTGAAAAAGCACCTGTTTGGAAAAGAAGCTTTTGTCTTACTAATAAAGGTGAATTCTGATGGCAAAGATATTTGTCATTAAATGATAGAACATTGACAATTTAAGACAATAAAATAATGAAGCCGTAAATCCCAGGAAAGGAGTGGGTAAAAGAGATGACGCACAAGTTTATAAGCTCCTGTTTGTTTAATTATTTGTGGCATAAATTATCTAATTAAAAAAGCTTTGCATCTAGAATTTGATATATTGTAGTTGAAAATAAACAGATTTTATTAACTTGGCAAACATTTTTTTTTCCATTCAATTTTTTAAAACATTTTTTCTAATATGTATATATTAGAAATTCAATAATAACATGGTAATTGTTTTATGTATAAAATTTTGTTATTTAGTTAATTGAGAATAAAATAATTTTAATTTTTATCATTTCAGAGGTATGTCGGGGATCTTCCGAAGGCTTAAGTGCTAGTGGAGCCAGTGATGAAATGCGATATAGAAAACTCAAACAGCGATATGGAAACTGTACCTATGTGGATGGAAATTTAGAAATCAAATTTTTAGAACAGCCTAATATTACCTATGATTTAAGTTTTTTATCAAACATTGAGGAAGTGAGTGGGTATGTTTTAATTACCTCTGTGACAGCAAAGTATTTACCACTCACTAAGTTAAAAATTATACGCGGGAATGAGTTGTTCCACTATAAGAACAACAGCTACAGTTTATTTGTGGCCTTGAATCATGATGCAGGTGGAAAACTTGGACTACAGGAACTGTGGTTTACCAATTTATCAGGTATATGAAAATAAATGGAAAGTAATATATACCAGTATATTTGCTAAGAAATTCAGAATCGATGAAGTTTTGAATTCATTTCCATAATCTGTCAGATAAATACTTAGTGGGGGGAAATTATATTATCAGTTTAAATTTCACACAGTACATTCTACTGATGCCTTATGAAACATCTTTTATTTGCTTATTTTAACACGTTTCAGTTACCCCAGTTAGAGGTGGCATTTTGACCTCTTTACAACAGAGCACATCTAGTACTGTATAAGTGGAAATTTTAGCGAGACACAAATTCAGCGATTTCTACCATAGAACTGGTATTTTATTTTTAGTGAGAAGTAATTTTAGCGATTTTAAAAGGCTAACTAAAGAAGCTATTACAAATAATACGCAATTAATTTTTAGCGATATTCAATTTTAGCGATGTCAGCACCCTCGCTAATAATGCAAAATTACATCCTCGCTAAAAATTCTACTTATACGGTATCTTATAACCAAATTTGAATACATTATTCAGAAACATGATTTACATATCTCAATAAACATTTTTTGCCCAGCCATGAATATTGCTATGGCATATATAGTGTTTCCTTCTATCCTTTCATCAGTCCTTACTTAGATCAGTTCAAAGCTAAGTTGCAAAGAAACTGTTCAAGACTTGCTTATTAAATGTCATATGCTGATACATGCCGATGTTAGCTATTCAATAGAACCAGAACTTTTTTTACTAAGACCTTTTCTTTAAAATTGACTACTGTTATTTTGGTTTTAAAAATATCATTCAAGATAGTATTATCAAGCTTCAGTTAGCGATATACATGTATAATGATGTGAATTATTCAACTGCATCAACTCTATTTGACCTTGAACTTTCCTTCTGTCCATGACCATACTTTTTTAAATAAGTGTTTAGCACAGTTATAAAGAAACCAAGATATTTTTCTCAAACTTCATATGCCAATACATACAAATGTAAGCTTTTCATCTGCATCAACATCTTATAACCTTGGCCTTTCTTTTGACTTTGACGTTTCTTTTTGACCTTGACGTCACTTTTCCTAAATTAGGTTTAGCTCAGACATGTTGATGAGAGTTATTCAACAGCATCAACATTTTAAGACCTTACTCCTTTAACCTTGACCCCACTTTTCTTATTGTATTGTTTAGTCAGTTTTTAAGAATCCATTCAAAATATTTTCATTAAACTTAATATGCTAATACATAATAGTGAGAGCTAACCAATTTCATCAGAATCTTTTGACTTTGAACATTCCTGTGACCTTGACCTCACTTTCTGATATTTCCATTTTGCTCAGTTTAAAAAAAACAACACTTTAGATATTTTTATTATAATAGGCTTATTCAGTGATACATAATTTGGTGAGAATTTATTATCTATCATTTTTAAATTGATCTTTCCAATGACCTTTGACTTTATTATTTATAAAACCCAATTTTAAAAAAGAAATTATTATAAGCAGGACATTCATGTCTTTATGTGGACATATATTTCTAGTTTATTCAAAGTAGAAGTTTCTAGTTCCAGTAGGACAGCTAGTATTATTTGTCTTGTAACCTGAAGCAACCATTAAAGAAAAGTTATCAAAAAACTTTTGAGTTTCATTTTGAATAATTGAGAAAGGGAGTGGGATTCACATTAATTAGTGAAAATTGGATACTTTTAAGATGTATGTTTTATTTTGAGATTTTTGAAATGTGTATCATATTATTGAATGCATAGATCAGCTCTTTGTAACAGAAATCTGATTTCTTTTTCTTTCAGAAATAACAAGAGGTGATATTTATTTTCACAATAATGATCATCTGTGTTTCCATGACACCATTTTATGGAAGGATATTAAGTTTGACCCTAAATACAGAGTTAATCATAAGACAACAAATACGAATTCTACAGACAGCAAACATTGTAAGTTATTTTACAATCAATTCTCCTTTTTCAACATCATGATTTTAAATCAGCAGATAATTGTTAAAGGTATTTTGATCCAGACTGACATAAACTGAGACCAGTTTGGACTTTGTGATAGATGTTCAGCAGGACCAGAGTAACTCAAGTCTGCATTGTGTCCAATGGAGCTCTTCTTAAATTAAATTTGTTAATGAATTGCTCAATTTTATAGGTCCTCCTTGTGCCCCAGAATGTTTTGAGGAGAAGACAAACAGCCGCCATTGTTGGGGGAGTGGACCAGACAAGTGTCAGAAGTGTGAGTACTAATTATGTAGATTGTAATTTTACCATAAAACAATAATTAATGAAGTGTTGACGACAGCACAGAGACAGTTCAAAAGCCAAAAGAAGACACTGAAAGTCAGGAAACGATCATTTAGACACTAAAATCAATTCTTGTTACAAATCTTTTCCTGCTGTCTTATTAATTAAAACAAAATTTTATGTTAATGAAGAAAATCCTGACATTAACCAAAGGCTCAGTTTATATGCAGAGATTTATTGTAAATTTTTCCAACAATATAATAGTACCCCAATCAGTCATACAAAGGTGCGAATATGTTCATGTACAGTATCAGATACTTACACGTGAGCATCTTAATGTCTTCTTTTGAAGAGCACCAGGACTTAATTAGTCAAATTGTGAAGTATCATGTGTCATATACATGGTACACAAACGCTATGTTCTACCGTAATTATGCTCCATTTGAAAATGGGCATGATTGGGTAACATATTGACTTTCTCAAGAATCAAATGGCCATATTAGTTTGTTAAGGGGATGAAGGATGTATGGTCACGTGACTCAGTTGATTTACGTCATAATCTCTGATAAAATATGTACAAAACGAGATTGAAACCACAGTACTTGTATAATTTTTTTGACCGTTTGTTTGCGTTCACCATCTAGTATAAAAATATCTGAAAACATACAAAATTTCTTGCAAATATTATCAAATTACGGAATAGATTAATCCACTCTGCCGTTTCCCTACTCTGCGCGTCCAGTGCGTCTTTGACGTCATAGTGGATCTCTTAGTTCAGTAAGATCATTCACGGTAAAAACGGGTAGTATAAAATCATAAAAACGGGCCATAATATGTACATGGTAGGGTATTTTGTAAATTTCAGAACGCAAAAAAATATTTTTACATGGTTGTTGACGGAAAAGTTCTGTGGGTTTGTCTTATTTCGCTTATTTCAGGAATGTGTGACGTCATAGTTGGGTTTTCCCGTACTCGAGATATGTAAACATGACACGTTTTTCTCATGATCATGACTCGTTTCACTTTGCCCCGTGCAATATTGAGCTCAGCTTCACCAATCGATATTTTTACAGTTAATCAATACAATGACGACCTTGAACTTCGACGTAAATTTTCAAATATTGAATGATAGGATTTTTTGCAAATTAATTTTTTTATGGTTTAAGTTGTCCTAAAAAACTCGTAAATTTCCCTCTTTAGATGTGGTGTTACAAAAGATTCTTGCTTTTTCGAATTTTTAATCCTATCCATACTCTAAAATAATTTAAAGGACACATTTCCGCTGGTATATTTTTTATCTATGGTGAAAAATTTCAAATATCGACCGAGTAATGGACCCAGAAACACGGAGAATAAAAACTCCGCTTAGACACTGTGGGGTATGGTATTTGTCACTCAATATCTCAGAAATAAGTCTAGAAACCTATTGATATGTCTGCTTTATAGTATGTAGGACATACTAAATAAGATATATACAAAATATGAAAAAAATTAAATGACAGGTATTTTTTCAGCTTAAGGTCCTTCATCCCCTTAAGTTGATTGTAGACCTCAATGTATTGAAGAAATCAAAGACTTTAAATTCAGTCTCCAAAATAAAATTTTTCTAATTCATAATTATATATTTATTAGGGATGTCAACGAGTACCCGGTTAACCGGGTACTCGATCGAACGTCCGAGTATCGAATACTAAAATCGGTAGGTTACTCGGATGTATATTTTTAAATATTTCTAAGCTTATTTATTATTGCATTAAAATATCGGTTTTAAACGTAAAATGTTCATTGCACTTGTACATACAGTAACTAGGGTTTCCTGAGCCTCTAAATGACCGTTATCGCCTGTGGCAGTGTTTGTGCAGTAATTACCGTGACCAAGCACCTGCTACCTACCTGGCTCTTCTCACCTTCGGCTGTCTTCTACCCTTATGTTTAATTTGCTCTAATTCTTTGTTTTCATTGAACATCGTTTAAGGTCTATTATATATGTTTAAATAAATTAGATAATTTTGTCAATTCTCCAGAAGCCGTAGATTCTCAGGGAAAGAGACAGACGATTTTGCATGTGCGATTGTTGATATGGATGCGTTTGATTACGTGCCAATTAATGCAAATGGTTGAATTATAAGGTTTTAAAAATCTAATGTCCATCGTTGCACCAAACTACAACATACCGCCTCGTAATTTTAATGAAATTAATGATCGAAAAGTGTACGAAGATCGTAAATCCGCTCTGTTAGAACTTGATCAAGTTGATATTGTACATGTAGCTCTGACGACTTATCACTTGGACGTCAAACGCATTGATAGAGTTACATTACAATTAGGGAACAGATTATTTTTTTAAACAAAACCACTGTGAGCCATTTATGATTTTATTTCTCGTATTTATTTGATAAATAAATTGGACTTAAAAAAATGTTAGATTAAATTTCGTCTGGCATAAAGTTGTCCTAATTGTTACAACACATTTACAGGTAAACCTCCCATCAGACCATGTGGTTTTATTTCAATGTTTTACATTTATCAATTAACTTGTTCATATTTATTTAGACTTTTACCGAGTACCCGGGTACTCGATCGGAAAAACGTCCGAGTAACCGAGTATTAAAAATTGACCGATTTTACATCCCTAATATTTATATTATAAGTCTCGTAGAAAATGGTGTCTCAGGTAGACTAATGGTCCATCTTGTTGCATTTTTCAGTGATCAGAGAGCTTTGTCATCCAAGTTGTGATACTGGCTGTTTTGGAGAACAAATAAACCAGTGCTGTCATAGCCAGTGCGCTGGAGGATGTTATGGTCCAAGGAGTACAGACTGTGTGGTAGGTCACCCAAGTGTATAAGTAGAAGGGCCAAAGTCATTCTGTCAGCCCCTCAGTATGTGGATATTTAGTTATTGTATAGGTAGAAGGGCCATAGTCATTCTGTCAGCCACTCAGTATGTGGATATTTAGGTATTGTATGAGTAGAAGGGCTAAAGTCATTCTGCCAGCCCCTCCGTATGTGGATATTTAGTTATTGTAGGAGTAGAAGGGCCATAGTCATTCTGCCAGCCCCTCAGCAACTGGATATTTAGTTATTGTATGGGTAGAAGGGCCATAGTCATTCTGCCAGCCCCTCAGCAACTGGATATATAGTCATTGTATGGGTAGAAGGGCCATAGTCATTCTGCCAGCCCCTCAGCAACTGGATATTAATATATAGTCATTGTATGGGTAGAAGGGCCATAATCATTCTGCCAGCCCCTCAGCAACTGGATATATAGTCATTGTATGAGTAGAAGGACGATCATAGTCATTCTGCTAGCACCTCAGTATGTGGATATTTAGTTACTGTATGAGTACAAGGGCCATAGTCATACTGCCAGCCCTTCAGTACAGTGTATGTGGATATTAAGTTATTGTATGAGTAGAAGGGCCATAGTCCAATCTGATTAAAATCAGATCCTTTGATCTGCTCACATAGATTGCTACACAAGGATCTGAAGAAACCCCATTCAGGGTCATCTCCTGGTGACCTTTCTAATAAAAATATTCATTAAAATTTTGACCAATCAGAGAGATCGTATTTAAATGACGTTCAGGAAAAAATGTAGAAGTGTAAATAGCTGTCGAGAAGATATAATCATTTCGTACCAAACAAAGAGATAAAAACCAAGACAAAAGCAAGTACTTAATATATTTCTGTACAGAAAAGACTGTAGTCGTTCTCTTGGCAGGCTACGGAAACTGGGTCACGATTTTCCGTTCGTGTGTCATCGGGGCTTTTACTTCTGTAACAATCGGCAATCCTTGGCTGACTCCGCTATGCTCCATTCAAAGTGTTAGTTAGTGTGCGAGGTAAGAGCCACCAAGTGCTTCTGTAACTGAATTTCGAGATACTTCTAAATTCTTGGAAGTGAACATTTGATTGGATAATTGAAAGGTCACCAGGAGATGACCCTGAATGGGGTTTCCTCAGCTCCTTGTGTAGTCTATGTGAGCGGATCAAAGGATCTGATTTTAATCAGATTGGGCCATAGTCATACTGCAAGCTCTTCCGTAAGTGGATATTTAGTCATTATATGAGTAGAATGGCCATAGTCATTCTGCCAGCCCCTCTGTACGTGGATATTTAGTCATTCTATTCCAGTCCCTCAATACAGTGTATGTGGATATTTAGTTATTGTATGAGTAGAACAGTCATAGTCAATCTGTCAGCCCCTTAGGAAGAACTGTTTTAACATGGGTTACTCCCTCTGGTTACAAGTCTGGACACCCATTAACATTGGGCACTGTAACAGTATAGAACATGCTTATAAAGAAGAACCTGGGATAGGCAATTTTTTTTTATTGTAAACTTATTTTTTCTGTTCAGATCATAATTTAATTAATTTAAAGCCATGAAGAATGAAAATACATACCTGTAAATGTCAATTCATTATAAGCATGTTCACTAAAAGCATGTTATTTATTTGCTCTATCAAATGTTACCCTGAAAGGGCAGAGAAAGATAGTTTTTTTCTTTTATTTTTAAAACGAATTAGCTTTAATGTAGATAAAGTACAATTCGTTTTCAAAATTATTTTGAAATGCTCCTCCTCCTATAGTGTTACCATGTTATGATTTGAGTTTGATTATACTACCAGTATTTGTTATTTAGTTACCTGGTATATTTTATATTTTTTCAGGCTTGCAAAAACTTCTACAATGAAGGAATGTGTGTCAATGAGTGTCCAAAACCCAAGCAATATAATAGATTTACCATGCTGCTAGAAGACAATCCCGATGGAAAATATGCATACAAATCGTTGTGTGTTAAAGAGTGCCCAGGTATTAATTATGTTGTACTATCAATGCATGTATAACCAACAAGATTGATTTAGGGAACCTGCTTATAATGAATTGAAGCTTGCAGGGAGTGATTTTCATTCCCCATGACTTCAATATATATTTGTGTAAACTTAAATGATATAAAATGAATTGCACTTTCAACTTCGTAATAAGCTTGTTTTACTCTAAAGTTTGTTGGGGAAAAAATCTTCTTAAATAGAGATATATTTGGGAAATATGCTGTCATGCCAGAAAAAAAATATGCATTATAATTAGGAGAAATCATTTTTCAATCTTAGGCGTTGTGTATCCATGTAATCTTACTAATACCAGACATCTTGGATCCACTCCCTAAACTGTGATTTAATAAAAGTGGAGATAGCTTCTTGCTGGTTTTTCTAAATTACAGATAACTTGATCATTATTCATAGATTACTTACTACTGAAATGGAAAATATAACTACTGAAACAAAAGTATTTAGAAAAGAATGATTGATATTCTTGAAGGTTTTTTTACTTTCACATATGGTTACATTTTTTTTGTATGTTTTTAATTTAATTTTTTACTTCTTTTTTGTAACAGATTATATGTTGAAAGATGAAATAAATGCCCTGTGTGTGAGGAAGTGTCCAGCAGAATTCTACCCAGAAAACAACACATGTGTACAATGTCAAGGAATTTGTCCAAAAAGTGAGTTTATTGGGCTAAAGAAAATTGAGAATACTGTTCGAAAGCTTTTCAATTAAAATCAGTAGATTATGCAGTTGCAGTTGCCATTTGGGGGGGGGGGGTGTTCTGCCCACATTTTTTGTAGTTTTGCTCTAGTTTCTGGTAGCCATCTTCTAAGTGTTTCAGAATTTTCATTGTTTTATTATCAACAAAGGGGCAGAATTGACAGATTTATTTTACCTGGGTATATGGCATACATGTGATAATTTCTAGACCCAGATACTGTGCAGCAGCCTTCATATACTGGAATTTGGGTGAAAATACTGTACATTGCTAATCAAAAAACGGTACAAAATATCGACCAAAAAACAATGCAAGGTGTTATTTTTTTAAAAAATAAATTTCAAATCAATGTACAGGTGCACCACTGCATAACATCATGATTTATTATTCATTTCAAGAAACTGTTGAAGAATTTTGAATTTCGGCATTAAACTATACTAAGTGCTGAACTTAGTAAAAAGTACAGTGTTTAAAAACAGGTTATTGTATGAGTCTGGTCGTTTCCATTCAGCAGTAATTTTTAATTTGTGACAGTACTAAAATAACATTTCTCTTAATCTGTGTTTGAATAGACAGTACGTATGCCTAATCAAATAGTGGACTAAATTTCGTTTTGCTGTCACAAAGTGTCTCCGATTCTTGTGAATGGCGTTTTCTCTTTGAAATGTCAAGTTACAGTGTAAAAAATCCTTAATAAAGGTCCAATTAAAAAGCAATCAGCCAAACAAAACGCTTTGATATCTCCTAATTACGATGTAATTATCACGGGGATATTTCACACCTTCGTTCATGATGTTTTGTTTACATAAATCAAGCGCAGTAAGTCACGCACAGTTCGAGATTTCCTGCGTTGCGAGAGCGGGAATGAAAGAAAAATGGCGGTTTCCGGTAAACATTTCAAAATAAGGTACACATTTTCATTTCCCGTGAATTTTGGTGTACCGCCGGGACACTGTGATGGGGGTAGAAAATACGGGACATTTCCTGTACAGCCGGTACATATCACATGTATGATATGGCCTTATATAGATATTTAGAATAAAATCCCTTAATTTCTTCACAGATACGATTTAAAACTTTTGTTATTGAATATTGATTGCATCGTTGATAAAAACTATTTGACCCGTTAGTCATTTTCAATAAACGTATTAAAATCCCTGTATACTTTTACTTTTTTTACATGTCATTTCTTTCTATTGATAGGATGTGATGGCCTGAAAGCTGATGAGTTTCTGTCCAGTCAGAACATTGACAGATTTCAAAATTGCACTGTTATAGATGGAAATCTCAAGATTGTTCAGACAACATTTGATGGGTAATTTAAAAAAAAAAGAATTGTTGATTTCATGTTTAAAGTCTTCTTCTTTCACATTAATTATGTGAATCATTTTCTGCTTGTGCATCTTTTTCAAGTTTCATTGTTTTTAAAGCCTTTTTTTCTGGTAAAGCATTATACACAGGTGATCATTAAGACCCATGGGCCTCTAGTTATTTAATAATTTATAGAGGTTGGTTGTATGTTTAGGGATAACTACCAGAATCTAAAAGGTCTGAAAAGAGAGCAGTTAGATGTTCTGAAGACTGTGAAGGAGATAACTGGCTACCTGATGGTCCAGGGAGGAAACAGCCAAGAAATGCCAGATCTCTTCTTTCTCTCTAATCTCCAAATAATTCATGGTCGTGAACTAGACATGTAAGTTCATACGCTTTCACTTCAGTTTTGTTTTGCTAACTTACTGGCTTTTTTTCCCTTCAGAAATCTAAATTTGTTTCTTTCCAGAAGCATTATTTTATTCATAATGGCATATTGTCTTAATATTCAGATGACTTGTTCTTTCACAGGCATACAGGGGTAGCCCTTGGAGTTTTTCAAGTACCTCTCATAAGAGAACTAGACCTTCTTTCTTTGAAAAAAATTTTAAATGGAAAAATTTTGATAGCAATGAATCCGAACCTTTGCTATATTAAGCCAGAAATGTTTGTGAACATGGTTGACATCCATTCACAAACAATTTTTGTACAGCATAATAAGGACCCTGGCCTATGTAGTATGTATACAATTTAAAACTTTTGTTATTGAATGCTTGTATAACATCGTAGCTATGAAACAGTCCTTTGACCCGTTAGTCATTTTCAATAAATCTGATATTTCATGGATAAAATTATATTTTCAGTCTTCTCAATGTATATATCAAGAGACCATATAGCAAAATATAAGGAAAAAATATTATATATAAAAGATTAAAGATTTCTGCAATGATTGATTGGTTTGCTTCATGTTGACCAAGATCTACTGTTGATGAGTGAATGGGTAGTGCAGACCTCCTGGCAGATATGTATAGAGAACAAACATGTTAGCTTATGTATGTAATATGACTTGAGGAAGATCCACAAAGAAATAATGCTTAGTAAGATTGCATGAGTCAGAAATGCATGTCGATCCAAAGAAACATGCACAATTGGTCCAGTTAAATGTCCGCATATATTGACAATTTTTGAATTTTTTCTTGTGCATTTTTTAGGTATATCATTGTTTTTAAAGCCTTTTTTTCGAAGTTGGGGGAGCATTATACACAGGTGTCGGCGTCATGTCGGTGTCGGCATGGCGTCTCAGGTTAAGTTTTTTGGAGCAATTTTCTTTTATAGTACTTCTATGTCCTATATTGATTAGACATGCATGGAAGATGGTTCTAGTGTGTTTCATTGTACCAGAGAGCAGTTTCAGATGCTGCAATTTCAGCGAAGGAATGACCAGGTTAATGTTTTTGGAGCAGGTTAACATTTTTGGTGCAGTTTTTGGTGTTTTCATTTCCAAGTAACTATAAGCCCTATGTTGACCAAACTTGCATGGATGGTACATCTAAGGATGCATACTAACAGGCTTGCTTCGGATGCTGAATCTGACCATCATTTTCCGGTTGAATGAACAGGTTAAAGTTTTTGGTGTAGGTTTCATTTCCAATAACTATTATCTATTTACCAAACTTGCATGGATGATACATATAAGGATGCATATGGGCTTGCTTCAATGCTGAATCTGACCTACATTTTCTGGTTGAGCAACAGGTTAAAGTTTTTGGTGCAGGTTTCATTTCCAAGTAACTATAAGCCTATGTTGACCAAACTTGCATGGATGATACATCTAAGGATGCAAAATTTTAAATGCTGAAAAATTTTGATAGCAACAGGTCAAAGTTTTTGGTGCAGGTTTCATTTCCAAGTAACTATAAGCCCTATGTTGACCAAACTTGCATGGATGATACATCCATTGCAACTACCATTTTTGCTGAATCTGACCCATTTTCCTTGAGTGAACAGGTTAAAGTTTTTCGTGAGTGATTCATTTCCAAGTAACTATAAGCCCTATGTTGACCAAACTTGCATGGATGATACATCTAAGGATGCATACTACCGTGCTTGCTTCGGATGCTGAATCTGACCATCATTTTCTGGTTGAGTGGACAGGTTAAAGTTTTTGGTGTAGGTTTCATTTCCAAAACTATAAGCCCTTTTGACCAAACTTGCATGGATGTATATATCTAAGGATGCATATACCAAAATATAAGGAAAAAATCATTATATATAGTGAACAGGTTAAAGTTTTTGGTGTAGGTTTCATTTCCAAGTAACTATAAGTCTATTGACCAAACTTGCATGTTGATCAAGGATGCACACTAATGGACTTGCTTCGATGCTGAATTCGACATACATTTTTCAGTTAATAGACCAGGTAAAAGTTATGGGTGCAGGTCTATTACCAAAAAACTATAAGGCTTATATAACATTGTATAAACCAAACTTTCACAAATGCTGCATCAAGAGATGAAAACTCAAATTTGCTTCAGATGCTGGATTTTGATTACATTTTCATGAAGAAGAACTAGTTTAAATTTTTTATGTAGGTCTATTTCAAAGTATCAGATCAAAATTGCTTAAATATTTTCATTTTTGGAATGTACACTTTTTGTTGGTTAATTGTGTGACTTTGCCTTACTTGAATTTTCTGAGGTATATCTGAATCTCTGATTACCTATGTTTTTATTTTAAATTTTTTTTCTAGAACACTTACTCGTATGTAATTTTTTAAAGAAATGGGGAGGGTTTTTTTTTGGCATGAGCTAGACCCAGCAAAAAAATATTTTTGTGACCTGAGCACAGGGCCAAGGATCTTAAAGTAGATCCCTTTCTTAGTTGTCTAAATGATCCTTATGAATTGTTAAACCCCAGATTGAGGTCATTCTTGTGGGCCTTCTTCTGAATGCATGATTGATGTGCTTTTTGTTTCTATTTTTAGAGCAGGGAATGCATTTAGTGCGATTATGACAAAACTTAAGTCACTGGAGTTGATTTCGCTGCAAAGTATAAAAAATGGAAAAATAAGCCTGTATCGGAATGAGGATCTGTGTTTTATAGAGGGCACTGATTTTACCCAACTCTTCACTGTGCAAAAAAATCCAGGTCAAGAATTCAATATCAAAGAATATGTACTGACCAGGGAAAATCGAGACCCTAAAGATTGCAGTACGTGAAGTTTTTTGATGAATATTTGCACTTCTTTTCTTGTGTACATCTTGTTTGAATTTGTCAAGCTGTCAGATTGAGTGGTCACATATTCACACATTCAATTTCATGCAAATATAATTTTTGTTGATCCAATAATTATTATAAACTTAAGTTTGAATAGAAACTTAAATAGTAAGACTTGCATTTATATCGTAGTGAAGTGGTAGTGTCGGGGGAACAATGAATAGAACAAAGATGATAATGATAAAAAAAATGTCACATAAAGTAGAAAATATGTATGTCGTAGAATTTTATATTTAAGGGGACATCTGAAAATGCACACAATGAAAACTAAATATTTTATAATTATGTTTTGAATAGCAAGAGATATTTTGTTTCAAAAGATGATAATTTTTTTTTAATTTTGGCGATACTGTATCATTAAATAGATGAAGATATTTTTAAATAATGGTACATGTACTTGTATCTGAATTCTGATTTTTTTTTTTAAACCAAAGTTTCTCAAGGGAAGAAAATACAAAAATTGTCATTAATCTACTCATCATTTGCCTCAAAATCAGAGCTTTTTTTACTGCTGACTTTGACTTGAGAGTTTTTGTTTGCATGGTTTTTGACTTGATTTGTGGTTAATGATCGCTCATGAGAAAGTTTGGCCATTTAAACAAGATGAAAGTACTGCTGGTAAATATTTAAAGAATTGTTTGGACTTTTATTTCCATAAATAAAAAGATTTTTTGTGTATACTTTTTTCTATGTGTATTATAAACTATATAGACCAGAAAAAAAGATTATACCAGCAGTGCAAAACATATAGCTATTACTATTTGGGTCTCATATGCAGTATTAACATGTCTCTAAATTACATGAAAAAAGTACCGAAATTCAGATCTTCCTTTTGTCGCTACCAGTTTGTGAAATTTTTAGTGTCAGAGCAAGATAAACTAATTTTGTTTTTTGTTCCCACATATACTCCCGGAAATTCCTTGATATTTAATTATGAAACAAATAAGATGGTAACTGATTAATCCTTTGTGTTAGATGAACATCTAAAATGTCTCAAACTGCTTTTTGACTGTGGACATTAGGTAATGATGTGCAGTTATTTCCCTTGTTTCCCACTGATGATCAATATTGTGTTTAATTTCCAGTGATTCCAAATAAAGTAAATGTTTGTAAAAATTCAAAGTCCATAGAATGCAAGCATGACAAAAAAACCCCTAAATAATGCATCTTGTAGACTTATTTTTCATGGACACTAATCTACAGGTGAAAATCTTACATTGCAACAGAAGTATGCAAGAGTAGTTTATAATTAAGCTCTTTTTTACTGTTATAATTTTTTTCAAAAAGTTGGCCTGAAAAGTACAGCTAGTTGTATGCAACAAGGAGAGGAAGACATAGACTAAGTTATATATTAACATTATAGTACTAGTAAAATGGCTTATGATATATTTAGATTTTTTGGTGCATTGTTTTAGAAATACCACATTTTTTTTTAATCCAGTAAAACATAGAATATCAGAGATAGAATAGATAAAAATATAATTAACTGACTGTCCTGATGCTATTTAAAAAATTTTAAAAAGTTTATTGTGTCCAAAAATATTTTAAAAAATGTGACTATTTTTGGAAAGGGACTAAATGTTGCAGTGTTTAATTGTGTCCTTTGTCCATGTTTTTCTGTTGCTTGTGATGTTTATGTGTGGTACCTGTTATTGTCAGTATTAACAGTGTGTCGTCCTTTATGTCATATAGCATTTCTTTTAAAGCCAAATTTATAGATAAATGACATGTTTTCCTCATCTCTGATGATGTGCATTTTGGGCATGTACCTACAAAACTTAAACTTCACTGAAAACAAATTGAAGCCTTCAAAGACTCCCATACTATTCAAGCAGTTTCCATTCTCTCCTGTTTTCAATATGAATGCTGCATGACACTAATGCATTTTAATTATTGTTTATCAACTCTATTTCAAAATAATATTTAACAATAAATTTAACTTTTAAAACCATGAATTAAATGAAAAAAAAATGTGAAATTTCTTTCTCAGATCTAGATTTTAAACATAATTCATTGATAGAATTTATGAACTGAAAAGATTGTGAAAGTAATATGGAGAATAATTGATAATAAAGATTATGACCAATTACTTATGTATCTCATGTACTCTTTAGAACAAGATAATCAGGTGTGTCACCAAAGCTGCTCTGATGAAGGCTGCTGGGGGAAGGGTGCCAACAAGTGCCTGCGGTGTCGCTCCTACAAGATTGACAACAGTAGTAACATCTGTATCGATCACTGTAAACAGGTCCCCATGATGTACGACGCTGGCAACCGCCTGTGTGCCTTCTGTAATGTGGAGTGTGAGGATGGCTGTGCCGGAGCTGTAAGTTATACCTGATTTACCCTCATAGAAAATTATTTTCTGAAAAAGTGACATATTGTAAAAGTAAATGTTATGTAAAGGGTATATTTATAAGTCATACTCTGTCAGTCACTTATGCACATTGTATACACAGGGACCAGGAAATTGCACAAAGTGCAAACATGTCACCATGAAGCATCATGATAATACAAGCACCTGTTTGGCACAATGCCCTGAGATGTTTTACCCAGATGCGAAGAATACCTGTCATCCATGTCATGTTAACTGTGCAGAAGGGTAAGTATTCTATCTGTGCTTTATTATGGTTAAATCAAACTTTCTATGCTTAAATTTTTTCACCCTCTGAAACTTAAATCAAGCATTGAAATAATGTTTATTATCATGCTGGATAACATGTTGGTACAGTTTAGAAATTATGACGGAGTATATTGTAACTTGTTGGTTTTCAGATTGGTATGAGTCAAAATTTAAAGAAAGACATTTTTAGCTCACCTCAACGAAGTTGGGGGGAGCTTATGTGATACCCTCGGCGTCGGCGTCGGTGTCGGCGTCGGCGTCCCAGGTTAAGGTTAAGTTTTTTGGAGCAGTTTTCTTTTTAATTACTTCTGTGTCCTATACTGATTAGACATGCATGGAAAATGGTTTTAGTGTGTTTTATTGTACCAGACAAAGTTTCAGATGCTGCAATTTCAGCAAAGGAATTACCAGGTTAATGTTTTTGGAGCAGGTTAACATTTTTGGTGCAGTTTTTGGTGTGGGTTTCATTTCCAAGTAACTATCAGGCCTATGTTGACCAAACTTGCATGGATGATACATCTAAGGATGCATACTACCGGGATTGCTTCGGATGCTGAATCTGACCTACATTTTCCGGTTGAGTGAACAGGTTAAAGTTTTTGGTGCAGGTTTCATTTCCAAGTACCTATAAGCCCTATGTTGACCAAACTTGCATGGATGATACATCTAAGGATGCATACTACCGGGCTTGCTTCGGATGCTGAATCTGACCTACATTTTCCGGTTGAGTGAACAGGTTAAAGTTTTTGGTGTAGGTTTCATTTCCAAGTAACTATAAGCCCTATGTTGACCAAACTTGCATGGATGATACATCTAAGGATGCATACTACCGGGCTTGCTTCGGATGCTGAATCTGACCTACATTTTCCGGTTGAGTGAACAGGTTAAAGTTTTTGGTGCAGGTTTCATTTCCAAGTAACTATAAGCCCTATGTTGACCAAACTTGCATGGATGATACATCTAAGGATGCATACTACCGGGATTGCTTCGGATGCTGAATCTGACCTACAATTTCCGGTTGAGTGAACAGGTTAAAGTTTTTGGTGCAGGTTTCATTTCCAAGTAACTATAAGCCCTATGTTGACCAAACTTGCATGGATGATACATCTAAGGATGCATACTACCGTGCTTGCTTCGGATGCTGAATCTGACCTACATTTTCCGGTTGAGTGAACAGGTTAAAGTTTTTGGTGTAGGTTTCATTTCCAAGTAACTATAAGCCCTATGTTGACCAAACTTGCATGGATGATACATCTAAGGATGCATACTACCGGGCTTGCTTCGGATGCTGAATCTGACCTACATTTTCCGGTTGAGTGAACAGGTTAAAGTTTTTGGTGCAGGTTTCATTTCCAAGTAACTATAAGCCCTATGTTGACCAAACTTGCATGGATGATACATCTAAGGATGCATACTACCGTGCTTGCTTCGGATGCTTTCATTTCAAAGTAACTATAAGCCCTATGTTGACCAAACTTGCATGGATTTTCCAGTTGATGCGAACAGGTTAATGTTTTTGGTGCAGGTTTCATTTGCAAGTAACTTTAAGCCCTATGTTGACCAAACTTGCATGGATGATACGTCTAAGGATGCACACTACCAGGCTTGCTTCGGATGCTGAATCTGACCTACATTTTCCGGTTGAGTGAATAGTTAAAAGTTTTTGGTGCAGGTTTCATTTCCAAGGAACTATGAGTTCTTTAATGACCAGTCTTGCATAGATGATACATCTAAGGACGCATACTTCCAGGCTTGCTTCGGAAGCTGAATCTGACCTACTTTTTGTGGATGAGTGAAAATGTTAGTTTTAATGCATGTTTCATTTCCAATAAACTATGAGCCCTATAATGAGCAAACTTGCATGGATGATACATCTAAGGATGCACACTAATGGACTTGCTTCGGATGCTGAATTGGACATACATTTTTCAGATAATAGACAAGGTAAAAGTTATGGTTGCAGGTCTATTACCAAAAACTATAAGGCTTATATAACATTGTATAAACCAAACTTTCACAAATGCTGCATCAAGAGATGAAAACTCTCAAATTTGCTTCAGATGCTGGATTTTCATTACATTTTCATGAAGAAGAAGTAGTTTAAATTTTTTATGTAGGTCTATTTCAAAGTATCAGATCAAAATTGCTTTTAAAAATATTTTCATTTTTGGAATGTATACTTTTTGTTGGTTAATTGTGTGACTTTGCCTTACTTAAAGACAACATTCGTTGAGGTGAGCTCTGTAATCTCTGATTACCTATGTTTTAAAAAAGTATTGCTCTCTCTCTCCTCCTGCTGCTGTTCGCTGTATCCTGTTTAACCATTAGTCCACACTGATTATTTCAGCTGCACCGGGCCGTCAGACATGGTAGGAAATGGAGGCTGTAACACGTGTGCTCTGGCTATTCAGTTAGAAGAATTCTCATTCCGCTGTATAGCTGACAGTGAAAGTCAGCGGTGTCCACACGATTACTACCTGTACAAAGTCAGCAAGCAGATCTCACCCTCTCTTGCTGGCAGCACTGTAAGTTGGTAGAATTGAAGCATTTGTTTGACAATCTCCAGAATCATTTTTTTTCATACAAATGCCAAATTTCATAATTAATTACTTATAATTGGTAAGTGGTAACATGTTGAACTCCTGATATCTGATCTTGGTAAGCATTTTATTGTTCAAATAAATTCAAAGAACATCCATTGTTCAATAAAGTGTAAAGTTCAATACTTAAGAAAACTCGTTAAAATTCTGACTTTAATTTGAGATAATCTTTGTATTGTAGGCTTGTTTTATGTGTGATGAGATGTGTGATGGTTGTCACCAGGGTAGTAACTTTGACTGTATTAAGTGCAAATATGTCAAGCAAGATGGTGCCTGCCGAAAATCATGCATTAACATGTTCTATCCAAACGAAGACCAGGAGTGCGAGCAATGCCATGAGGAATGCCGAGGGGGCTGCTATGGTCCCTCACAAACTGAATGCCAAGCCTGCAACAACTTCAAGGTTTACTTGGATAAGGAGTCCTGGAAGGGGAAGAAAGAGAACTGCACTGACCCGGACCATATCTGTCGCCAGTTTAATTGTACAAAGTCATGTCCTGCAGACTTACCGTATGTAGAAAAGGATGACATGGCTGAAGAGGAAACCACCACTCTGTGTGTTGATAACACACATCCAGTGGTTGCAAAGAGAAATGCAGATGGCCTAGCCAAGTAAGTTATAGAGATTAGATATGACTAGAAAACTAGAGTATAAATTGTACCATGACTTGAATATGCCACCATGCTCAAAAGGGTATCAGTCCAATTGGTATAGCTTTTAAGGTTTTTAGCTCACCTCAACGAAGTTGGGGGGAGCTTATGTGATACCCTCGGCGTCGGCGTCGGTGTCGGTGTTGGCGTCGGCGTCGGCGTCCCGGGTTAAGGTTAAGTTTTTTGGAGCAGTTTTCTTTTTAAGTACTTCTATGTCCTATATTGATTTGACATGCATGGAAGATGTTGCTAGTGTGTTTCATTGTACCAGTCAAAGTTTCAGATGCTGCAATTTCAGCAAAGGAATGACCAGGTTAATGTTTTTGGTGCAGGTTAACATTTTTGGTGCAGTTTTTGGTGTAGGTCTCATTTCCGAGTAACTATAAGCCCTATGTTGACCAAACTTACACGGATGATACATCTTAGGATGCATACTACCAGCCTTGCTTCGGATGCTGAATCTGACCTACATTTTCCGGTTGAGTGAACAGGTTAAAGGTTTTTGGTGATGGTTTCATTTTGAAGATACTTTGAGCCCTATAATGACCAAACTTGCATGGATGGTACATCTTAGGATGTATTCTACTAAACTTGCTTCGGATGCTGAATCTGACCTACATTTTCCGGTTGAGTGAACAGGTTAAAGTTTTTGGTGCATGTTTCATTTCCAAGTTACTATGAGACATATAATGACAAAACTTACATGGATGGTACATCTTAGGCTGCATACTACCAGCCTTGCTTCGGATGCTGAATCTGACCTACAATTTCTGGTTGAGTGAACAGGTTAAAGTTTTTGGTGAAGGTTCATTTCGAAGATACGTTGAGCCCTTTAATGACCAAACTTGCATGGATGGTACATCTTATGATGTAATCTACTAGACTTGCTTCGGATGCTGAATCTGACCTACATTTTCCGGTTGAGTGAACAGGTTAAAGTTTTTGGTGCAGGTTTCATTTCCAAGTTACTATATGAGACATATAATGACCAAACTTGCATGGATTGTACATCTTAGGATGCATATTACAAGACCTGCTTCGGATGCTGAATCTGACCTACATTTTCCGGTTGAGTGAACAGGTTAAAATTTTGGGTGCAGGTTTCATTTCAAGGTACAGTACTATGAACCCTATAACGACTAAATTGCATGGATGGTACATCTTAGGATGCATACTACCAGACTTGCTTCGGATGCTGAATCTGACCTACATTTTCTGGACGAGGAAACAGGTTAAAGTTTATGGTGCAGGATTCATTTCCAAGTAACTTTGAGCCCTATAATGACCAAACTTGCATGGATGGTACATCTAAGGGTGCATTCTACTAGGCTGGCTTCGGATGCTGAATCTGACCTACATTTTCTGGATTAGTGGAAAGGTTAATTTTTTTATACAGGTTTCATTTGCAAGTAACTTTAAGCCCTATGTTGACCAAACTTGCATGGATGATACATCTTAGGATGCACACTAATGGACTTGCTTCAGATGCTGAATTCGACATACATTTTCCAGATAATAGACCTCGTAAAAGTTATGGGTGCAAGTCTATCACCAAGAAACTATAAGGCTTATATAAACCAGTTGCACAAATGATGCATCAAGGGATGAAAACTCTCAATCTTGCTTCAGATGCTGGATTTTAATTACATTTTCATGATGAAGAACTAGTTTTTAGTTTTTATATAGGTCTATTCCAAAGTATCAAATTTGCATAAATTTTGCATTTTTGGATGTACACTTTTTGTTGGTTAATTGTGTGACTTAATTTGCCTTACTTAAAGACAACACACGTTGAGGTGAGCTCTGTAATCTCTGATTACCTATGTTTTTCTTAAAAGATGAGCAAGATACACACCCAACAGAACATTTACTTATTATATTGTAGGAAACATGCAGAAGATGCAGAAAGGACAAAGATCATTGTGGCCTCTACAGTGGGTGGTATTATTGTTCTGGCGGGGGCTCTGGTTCTTTTTGGATATTGTTGGTGCCAGAGAGCTAAATCACAAGAGAAGACTGCCATACTTACAGCCAAGATGACTGGATATGATGATGAGGTACCTATTCTGCTTATAGTTTACAATACATAGATATAGAAACAATTAAGAGATATATACCTTGCAGGATAATGCATGAGGTTAGATTTTTTGATTTTCTCGTCACTATATTTGGTAATGTTCTTTTTTAACAGCAGCCTCTCACCCCAACCAATGCCAAACCAGACATGTCCAGTATCCGGCTTATAAAACAATCAGAGTTACGCAGGGGTGGAATAATAGGATCAGGGGCTTTTGGTACTGTGTATAAGGTAATTTATTTGATTTATTCTGAACAATATTTAGAACTACACTCATTTAGATGATTTTAAAGATTTATTTTATCCAGAATAGCAAATGTGGATATGTGGAAAAATTGTTTCGTATATGGATGAAGTGCAAACATAATGTCACAATGAATATTTGAAAGAAATTTCTAAGAAAATGGATTGGAAAAATAGGTTTAAACAATTTGTAAAAGAATGTGCATATGAGCACTTGGATGCATACAAATTATAATTTGTTGAGTTCTTCATTATATGATGTACACATTATTTAATTTATGATTATACCTTTATGACGAATACCTTTGAAGAATCTTTGAAGAATTTAAAAAGATAAACTTATTCTTTCCAGGGCTTTTGGATTCCCCAAGATGAGAACGTGAAGATTCCTGTAGCCATTAAAGTCCTGTCAGACAGCACGTCACCGAGCCAGAATAAGGAACTGTTGGAGGAGGCCCGAGTGATGGCATCCGTGGAACATCCGTGTTGTATCCGGATTCTGGCTGTATGCATGACTGCTCAGATGATGCTCATTACACAGTTAATGCCACTAGGCTGTCTCCTAGACTATGTCAGGAAACACAAAGACAATATTGGCTCTAAGGTCCTTCTCAACTGGTGTACACAAATTGCAAAGGTACAGTTGGAAAATTTCTAATTTTTTAAATGTAAGAACTTGCTGTTGAGTGTAATTTATATTGTTAATATAGATATATCTACATTCCATAAACTTTTTTGACCTTTTTACATGCTTTTTGTTTGGCCTGTGATTACAATTACAGGGAATAGCCTTATTGATTTTCTTTAAAAATTATTGCATAATCATCTCATTAAGTCATTGCACAGTTACAGTATATTACATTATTACACTCCATTACAATTATAACAACTTCAGGGTATGTCTTATCTGGAGGAGAGGGGCATTGTCCACAGAGACCTGGCGGCTAGGAATGTTTTAGTGCAGAGTCCCGGCCAGATCAAGATTACAGACTTTGGACTGGCCAAACTACTGGACATCAATGAAGACGAGTATCACGCAGCGGGAGGAAAGGTTAGTGATCATCACATCAAGACTCACTCATTGTGTTTTATAAAGAAAGAATAAAGTAATTATCTAGAGAAACTTATCATGCTGTAGATTTAAAACAAAGAATTTTCGATCATTATTTCTAACCTGAAAAGTGGTGAATTCTGTGTGGTATATCCTGTACTTATACTAAATGTTTGTGAATATTGTAAGTGACTTTTGAAATATCAGATGCCCATCAAATGGTTAGCCTTGGAGTGTATTCAGCAGAGGATATTTACACATAAAAGTGATGTGTGGAGTTTTGGAGTGACTGTCTGGGAACTTTTTACCTACGGACAGCGGCCGTACGAAAATGTGAGAGCCAGGGATGTCCCCGATTTACTGGAGAAAGGGGAGCGACTCCCACAACCGTCAATATGTACCATAGATGTCTATATGATCATGATTAAATGTAAGTCTGTCATTCCTGGAACCAGTTTAAGATTTTTACATAAATTTACAGAATATTCGTAGAGAACAATTTTGATATCACCATATTAATAAATGTATTGAAATACATGTAATTAGGAATATATTTTATCGAAAGACGATGTTAACAAGAAATAATTTTTAAAAAAAGAATACATAACAATATGCAGCAAATACTGAAATCTGCAGTAATATGAAAATGTGTTTTAGGTTGGATGTTAGATGCTGATAGCCGTCCTTCATTCTTTGAGTTAACAGAAGAGTTTGCAAAAATGGCAAGAGACCCTGGTCGTTACTTAGTTATTTCAGTAAGTATCATCATAGTATCATTGTCTTCCAGTTTTGCAGGAGATTATCAGTTTATCTTGAATACTTTTATATAACCAGAGCTTTCATTGCTTTATCATGTTTATTGGGGTGGAGTGTTGTATGTGAAGACAGAAAGCGCATTGGAGGGTGCCTGTGTATATGAACAGTGGTAGTGGTAGAGTTTACTATTAAAATTATATCTTTAGCTGGAAACACTGGGCATTTGAAATATTCAATAATTTATACAAACATTTTGATTAAGAAAACAAAGGGGGATATGAAAACAAAACTTTTTCTATGAATGTCATATTTATTGTGGATTTTTAGAATCAAGGAAAATTAAAAGACATGCACTAAAATGAATAAAAAAGGTAGTGATTGTTTTGAGGTATTCTTTGTTGCAAAAATAGCAAGACAAAAATATAGAAAAGGGAGTGAGGGAACAGATTCAATAACAGGGTTGTAAGACACAACAGTGTGCAGTCCTATTAACTGCACAGCACACTTAAAGCACAAATATTTTTTTCCTTGTGTTGAGGCACTTGATAAACATATTTGTCACCATGTCAGGGAGATGTTTTGAAGAAAATCCCAGAGGACTCAAATACGCCCTCACAGATCGAGCTAATCACGCCCGATACGTCCAACAATCCGAGAGAGGAGGTATACACTGAAAGCCGCGGCTCGTTAACGCATGGGTGTGCTCATATATATCTTGTAGAGTTTCCTCATATATGTGCATTTAATTTATTAATCTGCATATCTATGTCCGTTTTGTCATGTCCAATAACATTAACAGTTGAATCCATTCACCACTTCCCACATTTTATGTATACCATTTGTCGCATTTTTTCATATTTACCTTTTATCTTGGTCAATCTATATTAAACTTTTTGTGTAATACAAATGTAGATATATATGAAATAGGTCCTTTCTGGGTTTCAGATGCTTTTATATTACACATTTTTTTCAAAAGAAAATATTTGTGAAGTTCATTCCTCTCTTAAATTAGTGTTTTGCCGTGTGAATTACTTATTGGGATAAAAATTTCTGCCCTTTATATATCATTTTATCTTGAACATTCTTATAGGATATAATGCACTTGTTAGTCCTATTGTTCCCTTCACAAGTTTAACACTAACTAGAATAACCTGTAAGTTTCTGGTGGAGTAGAAATATAATTTATTAACTCCTACTGGGTCTCAGTCATTTCTTACAAAAGACTAATTCTTAATTTGGGTTTGGTATGTCTTTCTTAGCTATATGTCAGTGTTAGGGATTCTTATTGTTAGCTATTCACTTACAATAATTTATTGTGAAGGTAAGGCTTGGAAAATCTGCCTTGAAGCTAAATGTGATACATAGAGAATATTACATACTAAAATCCATATCATATGTCATATCAGCCCGAGTGGCCCCATATCAGCCCGAGGGCCGAAGGCCCGAGGGCTGATATGGGGCCCGAGGGCTGATGTGACATATGATATGGATTTTAGTATGTAGTATTCTATTTATCATATATTTAAAATACTTAATGTGCGAGTTCATGTATTGTCATTGAAGAATGTTTCGTGCTTGTTTATGACATTTTTGTTTAAAATCTAAAAGAGCCAATTTTCGGTAACTGGAAAAAAAATAAGACCACAGATGTCATTAAAGAAATATTTTACATGAATATTTAAGTAAAATCAAGTAAATTAACGTTTGAACTTAATACAAGCGTTACTTCCGGTTTGATATGGATTTTCGGCCCGCCGGTCCGATACGTGATATGGATTTTCGGACCGGGCCGTGATATGGGGTATTGTGACGTCACCCGTATCACACTGTGCAGAATCGGTGTATTTATTACTAAGTATATGATAAAATGTATTAACAGTCAAGTAATATGGGTGATGCTGTTTGGGACTTAACCTTCATTTTCTAACATAAGATGTATTAAAATATTGGTGTTCTGAAATAAAGGACATCACATGATCTTACAGCTCTTCTTTAAAAAAAAAAAAAAAAAAAAAAAAAAAAAAACTTTATTTATCTTCTAACTTAGTGAACTTTTCCTCATGGATTCAGCTGTCAAAATGACACTCTAGTGTGCAGCAGCATGTTTCACAGCAACCAGCAGGATCAAAATCAGTATACAATATTTTAAAATTTAGCATGTGTTTAAAAGGCAGGAATGATTTATTTTGTTGTTGGAAGCATTCTGATATTTCCTTTGTCTTTTCTCTGCTTTCTATTGGCTTCTTCACAGTATAAGGTAAGTTTGTGTCAGTCCTTGAATTTTGTGCCTGTAGATATTTTTGTGCTGATGAAATAGGAGTTCCATGTTTCAATCAACAATGATAAAATCAAGACAACTCTCTTCACAAGTTTCATTCAATTTTTACATCACTTAACTAAAGGAAAAGGGAAATTAATTGTTCTTTGCTGGCAACAGAGAAAGCTAGTATAGAAAAACAAGTGTCTTGTGATAATTGCTTATGATTTGGAAGTTAAAGCTCATGTTTTTATTTTTCTTCCCTGCTCCAGAAATTTGTAAAATTGCCATTATCAATATTCTTCATCTGCAGACACTTTTTTTTTTTCATAAGAACTTGTTTTTTATCTGGGTAAAGAAATTTTAATGAAAGACAGGAATTTGATATATGGAGTGAAATGAGGCCTGATTTATGGCAGAGGAGTGTTGACATTTTGATATATTGTTGAAATTTAGGTATTTATCCACACATGAAATTAGATAATATTTAAAGAAGACGGTGTGTCTACTGCTCCAGTTTTGTTATCTGTGGAACATAAATATTTTCCCTCATCTTTTTATTGCCTTAATAAATTATTTGAAGATGAGTTTTGAACTTTGTTTGAAGGTCATTGTAAAATAAATTGATTATGATATGTATAATAATTAGCTTTCTTCTTTGCATATCGTATTGATAAGTCATAGATTTTCATATCAAATTTCTGTTGTTGCATGTATTAAAAGAAGTAGAATTGACTTTTTACAACAATTATTTGAACTTGATGTTATAGGAAAGATAGCAGTTACTAAATTTATTTTTTTTAGTTACACTGCATGTTAGCATTATAAAGAGAATGAAAATAAAACTGTTATGTAGACAGCTTTAAGATATGAATGTAGAAATTTTCAAGATCAGATTGCATGTGTTTTATATTTGTTTTTTAGTTTACATAGTCTGATTTTTTTGTTTGTTTTTCCATATTTTTTTTATATTTATGTAATGTGTGAATCAATATGATAAGGATTTTTCAGTTTTATTTTACTTTCCTATAAAATTTCGTTACTACACACAAACATCTGAATTTTGATGTCAATTTTTCAGGGTGATAAGTTAATGCGGCTTCCAAGTCATTCATACGATAAGAATGACTTGGCTCGCAGCCTGAGTGTGGCCGTGGATGGGCCAGAGGAGGTGATAGAAGCAGACGACTACCTACAGCCCACCCCCAGGGCCTCAGTGGAGATCCCCACCACACCTGTCTCATCAAAGGTCAAAGTCTTCTCCATCTTTTTTTTTCAAATTACCAAATTGGTCATTAGCAATTTTTTGAACAATGATATGCATTAACTCCACAGCTTTTGATCTCTTTCCATAAAAAATAGTCCTATTATACATGTATATGGCTATCGGTAACAAAATGCATGATAAATCAAAAATTATGTTGATAAATATGGCAAATGAAGACTGAGGGCTATAGACTGATGTATACTATTTGACATTATGTAGACTCCATTACTGCCATATGATGCATCCATACCACCACCACAAAGCCTGGCACTCAAAGAAATCCGTGCACCAGCTCGCAGAGAAAAGCGTTATGGTCACCTGGAATCCGCAGCCAAAGCTCGAGACCAGCGGGCACAAGATCCATCAAGGATTCGGGGTGACAGTGTCAATTCACGCTATAGCTCTGATCCAGTCAAAGTGCTTCACACTGGTAATTTTACTGTGAAGGAATATCATTGTGAACTGTTTTAGGTCAATTTTGCAGGAGAAAGTCTATAATAGATTTCGTTTGTATCATTTAAAATACACATTACATGGACATGTATATGGAATATACTTTGAAGACTTAATGTCTTATGTAAATTCAGTTATCGATAAAAATGGTCAATTCATACATACTCTTTATGTATTATTTCAAACCATATTGTTTAATTTTTTTTTCACTTGCAGATGAGATAGATACTGGACTTAAACGACCACTTAGGAATGGTTCTGTAGGCAGACAAGGTATCCCCAATCACTTTGTGAAACACACCCCAGACCTCAAGTTGCAGTTACCACTGGATGAAGACGATTATCTTCAGCCAAAGTCTTCCAAACCTAGGGCATATGCAGATCTGATAGATGGACAAGGTATGAAAAGTTGTCCCTGGGATATTTTTTAGAGGGTTTGGTTTGGGGGGGGGGGGGGACATGCATTACACAGAATTGAATTGTTGTACAACAATCGAGATTATTCATATAATTAAAAAAAAAATCACTCTTCAATATTCATTTTTAATGCTACTGTAACTTGTTTTCTTTTTTCAGATTACTTAAATGACAGTTCAGGGTCCGTTTTTCTGGATGATCATTTGGATCATAATGGCCATGGCCAGCCGGGTCTCAACTTTCAAAACCCCGAATATTTTGATGAACCTAATTTAAATGTGCCAAAAAAGCAATTAGCAAATAAAAGTTACTATAACGACATTTCTGCTGTGAATGGTGAAAGTGCAGAACACGAACCTCTGGTGCTTAGCGAGGACTGGAAATCAGAAACAACTGTCTAGTGCTTTAGTAGCAACACTTTGGGTTGCCATAGAAGAGAGTCCAGCTTTAAACTGCCATATATTTATAATAACCAGTGTACTGGTTGTGTTCTGTGATGGGGAAATATCCCAAGTCTTCTACAAACTGACCCACCATAATGAGCAATAATATGCATTTAAGCATGTAATCATTTTATTGTGATTAAGGGATTAAGGCTTAGCTGGGGACAGAGACATGTGGAAAGTGTTTCAGTACACCGATCAAATGCTCAAATTCTGTCGCCCAGCGGATAGTGCTGCTTCATAGTGCACAGTGACATAGACTGCATAACACAGCAGAATGTAGTGTGGAGAATGGACAAAGAAATCCATTGAAGTGTCAGTCTACAAAACAGGGACAGGGAGAATCGATGGTCTGGACAGCCATCAGTTGTTATCTATGCAGAACTAAGAAGAAGGCAGGACATGTTAATATTGTTTTTTGTTGGACATTCTGTTGTTTTGTTATATACAGCTTCCGTCTAGCTTTAATAACAAATTATTGCACAGGATCTTCATATATATATATTTATATGCTGTTATCATTCGTGACTGTTTATGTATACCATGTTTGTCATTTATTGAAAATTTAGGTTGTTCTTCCTCAACATTTGTTGCACAAGTTGTTTTTCAAAGCTCTATGTATAAGAATATTGCTGATGTTTTCCCTTCCATACGAACAACTCTAAGCATTTTTTTAAAAAATTGATACAATATGTATTATAGTACAGAAATTAATATTGGTAACATCAGGGACCTATATACTAACGGGATAGGCAACTCCTTCATCGCCATGTTTATTTACCCAAAACATCACGCACAACACTACAAGTTTTTCAAACTCCGTTTATTCCCAGTAAACAGGGTATTTTCTGATTAATATCATTTATTCCTTTTATGTATAGGAATTGATTTATTGATAAATATGTAAGCATGATAATAATATAATTAAAATATAAAGAAAACAATAACCGAAATCGGCGATTTCTCGGAAATTTGGCCGATCGGGGCATGTGCTAATTTTGCACAAAACAAAATTATTACGAAGATAAGGAGTATCATACGTTCTAAAAACAAATCTTGAATGATTTTTTGACAGATAATTTAAGGATTTTATCTCAAATATGCGATAGCTTTAGAGATATGATTAATTAAAGTTGACTTACGAAATCCCGCGACTTGCGAGATATCGCGAGACTTGCGGTAGTTGCCTATCCCGTTAGTATATAGGTCCCTGGTAACATTGTTAACATAGATATAAATTCAATTTTTTACTTCACTTGGAAAGTGAATATGGTGTAAATTTTGAATTGCACAGTGTGATGCTTTTAAAATTTTAACACATGGTTCAAAGAACTGTAAATAACTACTGATTGCAAATGATATTTGCTGTTATGTAAAATTTGTACAACTGATTAAGATTTCTTCTGCATATCCTACTTTTAAACAGTAAATATTATACATGCATTGATAGATCCTATATACCATCTTTATACATGGGAGTGACCAAGATTACCAAACTGCTTATAAGATGCTGTGTCTTCAAACCAAAGCCCGTCATAAACTTACCAACACTTTTGACTTTACCTGCAGTTTTTGCAGACATACCAAATACTCAGTACTTACATGTACTTACATCGTACCAGTAGATTAGACATAATCAGATGCTTCCTATCATTTAGTCAATAGAAAATATTTTTTGTTCACACCTCATAAAGAGTTCATGTTCATCTTCCAGTTGTATTCATGGCACCTAGCTCTAACATTTGTTTGTGACTGGCAAGAGCTATTCTGCATACTTCGTGCCTGCGGTTTTATCTAGTCACTTATTTTTACGAGGCACCCTCTTAATGTTCTCCTAGTGTTCATATAACTGTACTGCACTATCTGAAATTCTGGAAGGGTTTTCATGTATTTCAATTTAATTTTTTAAAGCCAATTTTAAAATTTTCACTTACAAGGTGGGTTTAAATCAAGTTTTACCACATTGTAAATGAATATAAATATCAAGATTAAATTTAATGCTTCAAATTAAATATCCAAATCAATTAGAATAAAATACTTCAATGATTTAATTATATTACTAGTGAATATATACCCGGTATATGAAAGATTTTTGTAGCTGTAAAGATTGTGTCATGTGACATAGTGTACATAATAATATTTTGATTAATGACTGTGCACTGAACAGGGAATTTTAAGTGCAAAAAGTTTTATTTTAATTATCTCTGGTGAGATTTTTTTTTTTCAAAGATGAACTCAAATGAAATGTATTTTCCATGTATGTTCTCTTTAGGTTGATTTCTCTGTTAATCATATTGAATTGAATTCGTGTACTTTGATGGAATTTGTGATTGGGGGATGGGGGTGGGGTTAATAATTTTATTGATACTTTTTAATTGGTGCCTTAAAAAATACATGGAATGAAACAATTCACGATACTGCTTTTAGATTTGGAAACTTTTTAATTTTCTCATTTGTTTTATTTACAAACAAGCAGGCTGCTGTCATTTTCACAGTTTTATAGTTTATCACTGTTCCTTACATTATCATTTACTTTGTTTTGTGTAAAAATTGTTATACACCAAATCAGTGAAATTCATATCATTTTTACAACTTTTTGGGTTTTCTTTTATGAAGTCTTATGTTTTGCTTAAATACGGGATTTTATTTTATTTGTATTCTTTTATTTTCATGTGATAGATTTTTTAAACAATATTATATGGTAATTGAAATTTGATGTTTCCCACATGGATACCATTCTTTCGTATGTAATTAATACAACATGATTAAATTAAGAATTCTTCTTATGAAATGTTGAGGTATTTTCAAGTTCATAAATTAAAAAAATTACTTGCTATGCGAAGTATGAAAGCCAGTAATGATTACATAGTAATATAGATGGAACTTTATGTCACTGAACACTTCTGTTTTCTTGATTTTGTTAAGCTGAAAACACACTCTTCTCATTATAGTATAAATTACTATCACTAGATTTATTTTAAGATATTGAGTTGATCTACATTGTTGCAATAAGTTTATAGATACAGAGAATCATTCATTTAATTTGCATATCATTTACATTATAAAGTATTATCTTCTTGTAAGGCCACCAATAATTGCTATGCTGATTATGTTTTTTGATGATGATAATTTTGTTTTTTATGTTCATCAAACATGTTTTAGTGATATAAGCAGGAAAAACTGCATGTCTTTTTTTTTTATCATTGCATTAGTAACTTAAATTGCTTCATGTAATTTCATGCAGGATCAATGTGAATCTTGAGAGAAATACATGTATTATTAAAAGGATATACAAATTTATAGTCTTGGGTTTTTTTTTTAGCTCACCTGTGCTGAAGTCTCAAATAAGCTTTCCTTAACAATTAAAGGACAAGATATGGTAACCACAGAATCTAGCCCCCTATTTGATGTAAAAATCAGAATACAGATGAAATTGTGATAGTTTGTAGTTAAGAACTTAAATTGATGCTTGTTTTAAATCCAGCACTAATTTTGATTCAAAGCATACATGGAGGCCACAAGAGGATGCAGAAATAGGACATTTTCCCAAATTTTCTCAATTCTGGTAGAATTTTGTCGTATTTGAGACTTGGGAAAACATAGAGCACAAGCTTGCCTATCTGAGATTAAGGCACAAAAGATGCATCTGATACTAATGTATGAAATATATAAATTTGATGGATAAGCAAGCATGTGCTCCGTGTTTTGTGAAAGAAATATGCTGTAAAATTGATTAAAAATTGCATGAAAATGAGAAAATATGGAAATTTATAACTGACATATTTTCAGACATTCCTGCGACCTCTGTGTATCCCATAACTTCGAACCAATACTCATTTTGTGGCAGGGGAGATAAGTGGTTTTCAAATTTATAGACTTGCATCATTCTGCAAGACACCCCAAACCAGTGTCCAAAAAGGGCTCTTACCCTTTCTTGTACTTTCTTGTCTATCAGCATCATTGATTTTTTTTTTTTTTCTGACATCACCTTCTCCAGAACCACTCTGAGTTCTATTAAGCCAGTTTCAAACAAACTTGCCATAAAGTATTCTTGACTAAAGGAGGTTCAAGATTGACCAGAATAATGTTTGGTACATGTATATAAGTATATATGGAAGCATCCACAGGTGCACAATGCAAGATCATTTGCACGCAGGAATACATAGGAAAAATCTTTAAAAATTTATGGGAGTATCTTAAGAAAGAGTAAATTCAAATTTCTTAAAATCATGACCTGCTGCAGGTATCGATGTTGAGACGGAAAAGGGGAAAGGGGGAAGAAAACCTTTCAACTAAACTAAAAAAAAAAACTACACTTTGACAGTCTAAAAAAAGGGGGGGTGTCTCCAAACTTGTATTTCCTGTTACTGGGGGGTGTAAGTTCCAACTTTTTTTCAATAAAAAGTTCATTAAAAAAAGAGTAGAAGGCGAGGTTGGGTGGGGATCAGCCTTTCAATAAACATTTTCAATTGTAAAGTGTTGTTATGTTTGGAGGCTGATACCACGAGCCTGCTGGCTGTCAAACAGGAAACAGACTTTGTCAATAAAACCCTCTAGTTTGACTTCATCTTTATGAAATGTTTCATGATCCTGGAGCCTGTTCTATAAACAGTAATTGATATTTATAAAAATATAGAATAAGATGAGAGTATAAAAAGCTTGTAGAATCCGTCCATGACTTGTGTAAAACTGATCAATGTAGTAGGATTTGAGGCGGATCTGACATGCCTTGTAAAGCTCATAAAGATGACAAAAAGGTTGGACGTGACACACTGTGACACAGTATTTGTATTTTGTTTTTGTTTTTTATATATTTTGTGTCAAATCGACTCGAAAATTAATAATCCAATCGGGAGTGGAGAGCAAACGCTTCAGATGAGAAGTTACATGTAGCTAAAGTTTCTCAATACCTTATATTATAAAAGGCATGGCTGGTACGTATTATATTCTGGGTTTGGGTCTCAACACAATTACTAAATTATATTAAAACAACTCAAATTATGAAAATATATTTTTGTAAGAAAATAATAAAGGCACAGTAACTTATAGTTGTTTTTTTTTCTTTTGTCCTAAGGTGCATCCATTGAAGAATAAATGCTGTTTTCATCAAGGACTGCGCTCGTCTTTTGTAATATGTATTTTCAAAGATCATGTCTGATGGCATCAGTAACGGCAACATCATATTCTTCATTTTGCTTTGACCTCAATGCATAATTCATAACACAAATTGTAAAATTGCCAATGATCAAATGCTAATTTTAAAATTCTCAGTCCCCCCCCCCGCGGGATTAAGACGTTGGTGTGAAACATATAGAGATAACGAACAGTATTCAAATTCAAAAGTCCATAAAACAATACAAAATAGGAGCAGAGCAAACATGCACCTCTAAAACATCAGAGGTGGGATCAGGTGCCATGGAGGAGTGAGAATCCCCTGCCGACGGGTCACACCTGCCGCGTGCGCCTTGTCATGATCGGAAAATAACGGATAAATCCGTCGGCAATTTAGTGTATAAATAATGGACCAACAATCAGTATGAAAACGCCAATCAGCATTCGACTCAATATAAATTGTATTTGCTTACAAGGTCATTTTATCAACCATAGAACTTAAGAAATTATGACATTAAAGGAAAACTGCACATTAAACGAAAACTGCTGAAATTCTTGTTTCATCAACTTGTTTGTCAGTAATTTACCTCGTTTTAGAAATTGTTCATACGTAGAGTATGCTCTTGCGTGTCGAATCAACTGATATATATATATATATAAACTCCGTATGCAGGTGATAAAGGTATATTGTCTATTTTATACTGTCTATTACACATGCATTGATTCCTACGACATAAAACGTTAACATTACACAAATGTAACAAGATGCATGTATGTAAAATATACGTTTTCTGCATTTCTGTATATAATACCGTACAATTTTTAAATGTTCTTATCATGCAGATATAATGTATTTGTGTGTTTTTCCAAACATGGCAGGTCCTACCCTGTTAAATTCTTTAGCAGTGTTTTAAAATTGTTTTTATGTTTGGAGTTTTGTTTTTATACTCATCTAAGTATTATTTAAAAACTTTACTTAAAATGTTTACTTATACCGTTACGTAATCATCTAAGGTTTAACAAAACTGCGTAAAGAAGTGAAAAGTATATTCTTCGGTATAAAATTGATTTGTAAAAGTTCAGTCGTCATCCCTTCAATATTGTTTGATTGATTGATTGATTGATTGATTGATTGATATCAACTGGTTTGCTGTAAAATCACATTTTTTTCGTGGGTTCCAATTTTTTAGGTTTGAGAAAAAATATTGATAATCATATGTAGATATTTGATTTAGTGGTAGGAAAAGTTTTGAGTGGTAAAGCTGATTAAATTTTACATTTCGTGTTACGAATGCGTGGGTCGCTCCATAACTCGAAAACAACAAAAACTATTAAACCACCACCACCCCTTGAAAATTAGTGGTTTCACAGTATTTTATTTATTTATTTATTTATTTATTTATTTATTTATTTATTTATTTATTTATTTATTTATTTATTTATTTATTCATTCATTCATTCATTCATTCATTCATTATTTTATTTTATTATATATAGATTTGGTTATTTCTTTTTTTAAATTTTATTTTAGCAAGATTTTATGCCCTCTGAAGAAATGTGAAACATATTCCTATTTTTTAGTGGGAGTTATCTCGCTTATCACACGGAATCAATACCGGAAGTGGTTATTATAAACATACGATCTGACAGATTTTGTGGAATTAGGCTACATCAAAGTTAGAGTTTCCATCTGAGGATGGACAGAAATTCTATACGATACGAGGTGGTATGTATTGTGCTGTGTCAAAACCGTTGACATTCACTAACTCGTAAACATTATTATACCTTCAGTTTATATAATTTAGGTTAGAAAAATTCTGTAAACCGCCATTTGTCCTGTTTGTCGAGAGCACAAATTTGTTAAAATTGTTAATGCTGTTCACTTTGAGACTGAAACGTGATATAGATGTAAAAATAATAAATCGTTGAGATGGGATAGAGTTGTGACTATTAAATGTGTTGAATTAACAGACTGTTCATTTACCCCCCCCCCCCGCCCTCTCACACACAGTGACACACAAATTTTGTTAAACATACAAAATATGAAATATTTTCTTTATCAATTTAATTATCTCTTTTTTCAGCTTCGTGAAGATGAAGCTTCTGCCCCAGCAGAGCCTGTAAATCTGGTGATGATTGTCCCTCCTCCGGAGTACCCAGGCAATGGTTCCTACAATGCGGGTAGGTTATCATGGTGATTATCAAGGTTATGGTATGTAAACAGATCAGTATTTGTCTGCCTTTACCAGACTAATATGTACATGTATAATGATGCAGCTTCAGTAATAATCAGTAAATATTTCTGTACTTTTCAGACCTGAAAAAGTCCTCAGTCTACAATATTTTATACTTTATTCAGTTTTACTATTGAACTGTTGAAAAATAAACCACATCATAGGCTGCATATGCTGTAGCAATTCCCAGAAATAGCATGCTAAATAACTTAGAAAATTAATATTGCCATGCTTAGTGTTGTTCCTTTTTTATTATGCAAAAAAATATTAGTTTTTACGGTCTATCAATGAAAGGTAGATTTAGCTCAGAGAGTCGAATTTATTATTTATCAGCCTTGAAGATGTAGAGTAGGATTTCCCACCTAATATTCCCCCATGTTCCCTCACCGAGTGACCCTGGAAAACTGATGCTAGGATTTCCTTCCAGAAAACTAACTGTAGATAATAACTCACCCATGAAAAACTGGCTTTAGAGATGGAGTAGACTTCCCTCAAAAGAAATCGGTTATCTTTCGAAGGGGGGGGGGGGGGGGGGGGGAGTGTTTAGAGTAGTAATACCCTCCTAGAGCCTTTTTCTCACTCCCCCATTATAATGCTATGTATATATAAAGCTTTTCTCAGATGCATTTTGTTAATATTTTGTATGAATTAAAACTATGTAAGGACTTAGACACAGTCTTTTTGGCAAGTTCAAGAGAAAAATGGTATATGATTTAAATCTATTTATATAAGAAATGGCCAGTCTCGGGGTATGTTTTATATCTTGTTAGACTTGAAACATGATAACTTATTAAGAATTTGACCAGCTCCTAAACTAAGGCTATTGGTATCAATAACATTTATGTTGCAGAAAGCTCCAACCAGAAGCTCCCATCTTATACCGAGGCTACAACTCTGCCTACTTACGAGGAAGCAGAGCGATCCAAGTTCCAGGAATCCCTGAGAGCTACTGACGGAAGTCAGGATAGTCAGGAGGTATGTCTGAGAAGTAATCCTCAAAACAAACTGAGATATTAATGCATGGGAAGCATATTGATTCATATGCTTTATATCTATTAATTCTTACTATTAAAAGAATAATATAAGGAGAATTCAAGTAAAATTAATGTAAAATAATTACATTCAATAATTCAATTGAAAATCATAGATGCAGGGATGTTAAAATTTCTCTACTTTTTAGGAGATCACTCCTCATGAGGGGCGATTGTTCAAAGCTACCACACTTGGTACAGATGGCATGTTCCTGTGTGCCTTTGTCAGTAAGTACAGACTCATGGTGTAAGATATAAATATTGCATATATTGATATAATAAGGACAGCATATACATGTACATATAATGGGGAGTTTATTTCTTGTTTATAAATGAAAACATTTGAAGTATTAACAAAAAAGTAAATTGGAATTCAAGATTATATGACAGTGTTTCCAGAATTTTATTCAATAAAGCTTGTCATCCTTTAACTTTGGCTTGTCTTGGTTTACAGTGGCTTTTTTCTTTAACTGGATTGGATTTCTGTGTTCGATATGCCTATTTAACACTATAGCAGGACGATGTGGAGCTCTATCAGGATTGGGCCTCTCCATTGTTAAATGGATCTTCATTGTTAAGGTTTGTCCAAAATAATTTTAAATTAGTTATATTCCGTTCAGTACATGTTAAATAAGTTGATTAGATTCTCTCTTTAAATCTTGTTTTTTGACATGTTTTCTCAGTTCTTCCTGCCTCTTCTTTTTATGTCAATCAGAGGAAAAAAATTCTATGAATTGATTTGTTAAGTTTATATTAAAATAAGAGAACTTTGACAACCCTAATATGATTTTAAAAGACCATCAAATATGAACAACTGATCTGTTTATTTTAGCACAATAAGTGGGCCAATGACTGGGCAGATGGTGACTCCTGGGTGTGGTGGCTCTTGCTCCTTTGCGGTAGGGAAAGAAAATTTTCAAGAGCATTTCCATTCTGGGAGATTTGTGTGCTTTAAAATATGTAACGCACTTGAGTCTGAGACAAAGCTCAAGTGAGCTTTTCTGATCAAAAAGTGTCTAACATTCTGTCATCTGTTGTGTTGTCTGAAAACTTGTCACATTTGCAACTTCTCCAGATCTACTGGGTCAATTTCAACCAAACTTGCCACAAAGCATCTTTAGGGAGAGGGAATTAAAATTCGCTCACCAAAAATGCTGAGCCAACTTGAAAGGAGAGATAATTATGAATTCATAAAAAAATTTGGAATCTGTTAAAAAGCTCAAGACCTACAGGGCCAGAAAAGATGAAACTAGAGTGAAATCTTAAATACTGTAGATTCAACTTTTCCAAAATAATGACCCCCTGTGGGTAGAATGGAGCAACAGCTGGGAATCAAAGTTTTACGAATCAAAGTTGTTCAAATCATGACCCCCTGGAGGAAGGGTGAGACAACAAGAAATCAAAGTTATGTGTATTGGAATATGTAGAAAAAAATCTTCTCAAGAACAACAAAGCCATGATTAGTCATATTCAAAGAAAAGCATCCTCAAGTAGTGTAGATTCAAGTATATTCAAATCATGACCCTGGGGCATAGGGTGGGACGGATAAGGGGGTCAAAGTTTATATAGGACAAGTCTTCAATACATTTTTCCCAGGAGCATCAAAATCATGAATAGTCATTAGGGATGTCAAAATATTTATTTTTCTTAGTCGAACATTCGATTGCATTATTCGAACGATAGTCGACTATTCGGAGCATTTATTGAAAAAAAAAATCATCAATAGCGTGTTTATAAAAAAAAATCCTTTTGTAAATTTATGTAAAAAGTAACATCAAATCCATATACTGTTTGTTACACACCGATATTCAGAGGAACCTTAAGTAGGGATAAAATGTAGAAATGGAATAAATTTGCACCAGCAATTGATTCTCCAGCATGTATGAATTTTCGAAAACCACATTCATAAATTGGTCTGTATACATCCTTTCGTTCTGGTACACTTAGAGAATTGTCAGCACAGTGATTTTAAAGCTCATTTTGAATAAATTGGAAAAAGGGTAGGAGACTACTGTTTTAATAATTATCGAAGTTTCAAAACTTCACGGCTATGCAGTGTTCCTAAAGCATAATTTAAACATTCTTAGAGGCAATAAATAAATTTATAATTGGTACAATTTTCAAAGTCCAGTAAAGCACTGCATAATTTACTACAATAACAAAAAGGTCAGTGATTGAAAAATACTAGTAATCATCGCGGTATGTAATTACTGTACTGTTCATATGTACAATGTGGAAACTTATTTATATACCGTGACTTGTTTAAGCTTATATTCGTGTGAGGACGAATACTACAACGGTTTGAAAAATGACATTTTACAATTTCGAGTGGAGAATTCTTAATATTAAATATTCGAATGTCGTTTCATTATTCGATCGTCGGTCCATTCGACTGATAGTCGAATAGTCGACTATTCGTTGACATCCCTAATAGTCATGTTTATATGGTAGTATCCAAAACAGTAGGTAGTGTAAATTGAAGTTTGTTCAAACCATGAATCTCTGGGGTTGGGTCATAATGTGTAACCAAGTTTTACTTAAGAATAGGCAAGGAAAGAAATCTACTGTCAGATGAAAAACAGAAGGACAGTATTTACTTAGGTAAGCATTGTGGCCTATGGGTCTTATGTTAATGTTTTGTTTCATTAGAATGTCATTATGCCATTTTTACGATACTGTTTTTAATACGTCTTTGTCAAGAACAGTTGATTAAAAACAAATGTTGCTGTTCAAGAATATTTAAGATATTAGGTCTGATATCCATATTACGGTCAAATTTTCTATTTTTGATGATTTGTGAAAATGCCATACTGGTAATTTTCATCATTATATTGGAAAAAAATATATTAAAGTAAACTAACATAGATATATATTTATTTTGTTTGTGTCTTTTCTATCTTTCTAGGAATGATGATCTTCTTGCGAGGAGCTATTCACTATATCAAGACAAAATACGAGTGGAACCAGATTCAAAACAGCTTGAGGAATAGAAATCTGTTCCTCTTCTAATGGAGTTACCTCCTTTTCTTAAACAATTTTCCTATAAAGTTTCTCTGTTTCTTTTGTTATCAGTTTTGGTGCAGGTTATAAATTGATAAAATTTATGGGAAACTTTTTAGAAAAGATTTAATGAAAATAATTGCTTTTGAAGTATTTTACTCAGAGATGAAAATATCATACTTAACAATGGATTTATATATCATTATATTTTGATTGAATTAAAATATTATATGCTACTTAGATTTTACTCAGATTTATTTTTGAGTTTTCAAACAATTCTTCAAACAAACTATCATTTACAAAACTTCTGTTCCTACAATATTTTATCTACACAACTTCATAGTTAAGCAATATGCCCATGGGTAGAATTATTGTTATGAAAAATTGAAAGAAAGTAGAATAGGTTTACTGTTAATTTTTCATTTTTCCTGGTGTGTGATTCTAAGTCCTTATATGTTAATATGAATATTCTCTGTTTATTTTTATTGCATGCTTTAATTCTTAAAGAGGTGGAAGAAATGCATTGATGATTGAATTATTTTCCCTCTTCTAAAGAAATGGGATTATGTACTTTTATATGACCTTAGGGACATGAATACATTTATGATTTTTTTTATCTGTTAAAGTTAACACTTTTTTGAATATCATTTTAATGCATATACATGCATATACAACTTAAATGGAATAGTATTCAAAATTTCAAACATATTTACATGTAGTTCTTTTTTTTATTTTAAAGTCTTTCAGTGTCTATGCTTTTCTGTTTACCGATATGCTAATTTTTGAAATAATTTTCTTCCATGTTGTACATGTATATTCAAAGTATGGCAAAGTAGATAAGTTGATTAACAATAGGCAGACATATTCAATGTCTAAGGGCAGTTGGTGGTCTGAGTTTTCAGATCAGATTATAAATTTATTAAATTATTTATTTCATTCATGAATTGTGTAATTTTTTAGGTAGTATTTGAATGTATTCAATGAGATGATTTTTTGAAGTCGTAGCTTTACTCTTCAAGTATTCAAGTTTTAAAATATACATGTATTGAATTTACTTTTTTCCATTGAGAAATCTGCTGGTGAATTATTTTAAATGCTGCTTTTTCTGTAATCTGTCAACTGATTAGGGGGTAAAATGTGTTTATTTTTGGCCAGTATTTGGGATATGATTTTCAAGAAATATATTCAGCTTAAATTGGACAAAATTTGAAAATAAAGAAATAATAAAGAAGGATGTGTATTCTTGTTTTTGTTCTTACTTTATTATTTTTGTCCACAATTATAATTTGTACTTTCATGAATTTGGTATAAATTGTTTAACAAATTGCCAAGGCTCAAGGATAAATAAAAATGTGCAACTCATTGGATAAAAATTATATCCAACTACAAATCATGGGAGATCTTATTTATAAATATTCGAATTATGGTTCAAACGGTACCTGGTGAAAACGGCACCTAGTGAAAACGGCACTTGGATTATGCAAAACGGCACTTGGTCAAAACGGCACTTAGTGAAAACGGCACTTAGTCAAAACGGCACTTGGTCAAAATGGCAATTATAGGAAAAATTATATGCAATGATAATTTGATATATAGATTGATATATATTTGTGTGAGTATATATACATGTAAACATATATAATTTTTGTTTTCTGGGAGGGTCCATTTCATGTATACGCTGTAACAATTTTTTATGAAATCTATGTGATATATATAAAATTAAATTATAATGTATGAACCTATGCATATACATACTTTTCCCCACAGATTCATACATTTAAATACCAAATTTGAAATGATTTTCTTTTTTAATTTATTCCTTGAAATATCAGTATCTTCATCTTTTAGTCTCCTTTTTTAAAATTAATGAAATAACAGCATAGTTTTTAAATGTAACGTTATTTTCAAAAACAAGATTATAAACAATAACAGCATCATTTTATCATCTAAATAAATTATTATTTGTAACAATATTATTAAATAGAAATAAATTGATATTCTTCAGTTATTAAAAAAGAAACAACAAACAAATGTTTTTGTTCTTCTATGTACAGGTTTCATATTGTAAAAAAAAAACTTTAGTAAATGTTGTATGGCTATTCAGATTTTATGTACAGTTTAGAGAGGAAAATCTAAGTTTCAATCTCTTTGACATATTGTCAAGAAATACACAATAGTAACTGTATATGATTGCAAATTGACGATCAACAGATTGTAGAGGGGGAGGTGTGAAAAAGTCTTTTGTTTCTTATTCCTACAAGTGTATTCTAAGTAAACACACTTTAACTGGCTTCTAATTAGTCAACTGTGACTGGCAACCCCCAAAACAGAGTAGTATACATATTAGCAATACTATAAATTTTTAAATTTCAAAGGATCATAATAATATAATTTGGATTTGATCTCTTTTGTAGAAAATATTAGACATATTATTTAAAGAAGTACATTTAAACAAATCTAACCACTGTACAAAAGTACAATAATTTTCAAATGAATTAGTCAATTTCCCCCTAAAATATTTTTTAAACATTTTTATCAATAATTATATACACATTTATTACTATAAATGTAATATAAAGATCCTTTTTCTGTATAAACAATATCAAATTCTCAAAATTAAAAAGTGCCGTTTTGACTTTTCTGAAGTGCCGTTTTGACTACTCTCAAGTGCCGTTTTGCATATTTCCTAAGTGCCGTTTTCACCAGGTGCCGTTTTGACTTGTACCCTAAATATTCCATGGATATTTGAGATAATAGGTAAAAAAAAATTATTCAGATTTTTTCACGAAGCTAGGTTCAAAAACTTGGATTTGATAAATGAAACTGAATAGTTTTCATTTTTCTCTATTAAGCAGACACTTGGAAACATTTTATGTAAGAGCTAACAATACAAAATTTAACTGGTTCCACTCTTCAAGTCTGAGAACCAGTTGGTCAACAAACTTGAAATCACAGAACATGGGCAGGAGGTATTATTGCGACTATTGTGACAAATCATTTGCAGATAACCCTACACATCGTAAAAACCATCTAAAAGGGGTTCAACACCAAAGAAATAAGAAAGCACACTATGATTCGTTCAGGTATGATCTCAGGTCTAACCTAAAGATTGTGACTTCTCACAGATTTACATTTTGTAATCAATGATTTATTCTAAAACTAGTTATATCATGTATATCTAGTAAGGAATAAGTAAAAAGTAAGACTAAAACTTTTTACTGACACTTTTGACTTTTTTCTCAACAGAAACCCAGAAATTGTGCTACAAGATGAACTTTCAAAGAGACCTTGCAAAAACTTCCTTAGCAGTGGGACCTGTAATTTCATGGACAATTGTAAATTTTCACACCTTACAGATAAAAGGAGGACAGAGTTAGAGAAACTGGTTGAAGAAAAACAAAGGGCTAAAGAACAGAAGAAGAGGAATTTAGAAGATGATGAAGCTCCTGACAAAAAGCTCTCAGAGTGGTTATCGAAGAGGTTAAAAGGAGAGGTCAAAGTTAATGAAGAAGAAAAGGCTCCCCTTTTACCAGTGTATGAAATCCCTCCACATGTGGCTCAGATACCAAACCCCCCACCCTCCATCCTGCCCCCTCCACAAGATGTTCTCAGGGGACTGAATTTTGTGGACTGGGGTTGATATGAAATGTGATACCTGTAATACATGTATCTAAATAGTAATCCCTATATATGCATTAATTTGGAAGAGTTTGTTGAGACCAGATAAAACTTTATATTTTTTTCAACCTTAAATAAGAGAAACACCTTATATACATGCATATGTAGCTTTTTTTAGTTGTGAATGAAGAACAATCTATGCTGATTAACATTATTAAATGTGAATGACAATGCATCTTGATATGTATAATTCAGGCTATTAGATTCTGCATAAATCTATCTTCCTTAGATAGAATTACATGTATCTGTTTGACATACACAGAGAAAAATAAAATGACAAGAAAAATTGGATATTAATTGTATTTAATGTGTACTTTATTTTCTCATCGATGTGAGAAAAAAGTCAAAATTTTTATTTTTTTTTTCCATTTGCAATGACTTTCAAACAATAGTTTGGTCTAAATGGAAGAAAAAACATTATCTATGAGATTGTTTTTAGCTTGAACTTTCAAATTTAAAATAAGGATTAAGGACAGTCAAATCTTTTCATCTAAAACTTGATGAGACAGCTATTAAAAAAGATAGAAAAGATTTCAAGATATTTGTCATGAGTAAAATGCTTAAAGAATAAGTGTTTGGGACCTAAAATCACTGCATATTCATGGTGTTTGAGACATCAATATCAAGATTTGGAAGTTCAACTGTAAGTTATTATCATAAAATGATTTTCATAATTGTTGATACAATATACATGTATTCTGGTTGTCTTTTTTTATCATGTTTATGTCAAAGTCTGAATAGAAGAAATTGAAACTTTAATGAAAAAATATTTTCCTTCATTTGTTCTTTTTTTTCAGACAGACTTTATTTAATTAATTTTAAATATCATATTTTGTGCTGGTTCATGTATCAAGAGATAAGAAATAATTTTCCACTCATTTATTTCCAATGTATGGTTAGATTCAAATGTAAAATGCATTTGTAAGAGTTGTCTTCCTTTAGTCAGTGAACACGGTGAAGTTCATCCACCAATGTAATAACCATCCACATGGTATCATTGTATTTTGACATAGATACTTATCATTTGATAGATTTAGGAAATACAGGTTGAATGAGTCAGTGCCTGGAGTCTATGAAATAAAATTTAAACTTTTTTTTTTCATTTCATGACTTGACTGTGAATTGTTCCTTGTTTACAACAGATGAGAAAGATTTTTATGTGGTAGTTTTTATGACTGTCACTTAAAGGTCCAGTCAGACTCCTTTGTCATTGGAGAAAGGACAGATCATCCTAATCTAATAAAAGTCAGAAGTTTATTTTTATTGCAGGACAAGTGATGAGCACCTTGAAGAAAGTAATGTGGTGTTGGCGGTGTCAGGTAGAGACAAGATAGAACCACCAGCAGATGACGTGGGGATTGGTTTGTAGGTGACAGATGGACGGTGGCTCTTATTTTGTCAATAGTTGTCATCATTATCCACTCAGACTTTGTTATTTTCAAGTGTTTCAATTATTTTTAAGTTTCCATTTAATCAAGTTTGGGGGGATTTTTCCCCATCAATTTCTTCCTTTAAAACATTCATCTAGGACACATATTACTTTAAGCATAATTTATACCATTTATTTAGACAAATATATGGTATTTGATAATATCTTACAAATTTGTATCTTTGCAGTAATTCAAAGCGGAAATGAAAGTCTGTTGTGGAAAATGATACTTGTACATTCTGTAACAATGAATGTGAAACCATATTGCACAGTCTATTCTTGTGTAAAGATGTAATGCATATTTGGAATGATCTTAGTCTACATATTTACAATTACACATCAAAACGTGTAGGTTTTAATATTCAGAATGTAATCTTTGGAGAGTTACCTTTGTCAAATTCAAACTATGTCATAAATTTTGTAATTTTATATGCTAAACAGTACATTTTTTACTGCTTAAAAAATGCAAAGAAGCCTAATTTAAATGGGCTGATTGCCCATTTAAAAATGTATTATAAGGTTGAGAAGTACATATCTGTTAAAAATCTAACTGCAGAAAATTTTGAGTCTGCATGGTTACATTGGAAAACTATGTTGGAAATGTAAATCCTCTGAAAAAAAAATATTTAAAAAAAACATATTTAGATAAAATGTAGCATACTTTTTTCCCCTTTTTTATCCACATAAAGTGTGTAAAAATTTACAAAAATTGATGTATTGTAAGTATGAATGAAGTGCGAGAGTGGGTGGGTGTGAAAAAATTTCTGTGCAAATTTTGATAAATGTATTTGATGTTTGTGTTGAAAGCATGGAAATAAAGCATTAAAAAAAAAAAAAAAAAAAAAAAAAAAATTCTTTTCCAGTTTGTTCTACATTTAGCCTGGTCATCGTACACAATAGTCTAGAGTTGAATTGTATTTTATAAGTGAATTGTGGCTTCTTTTTGTTTAAAGATGGGAAATGTATTTGTGGAGGAATTGTTTCAACTTTCCTGCATTTCCTTTGTAAACCTTTGAAGTCCCAAACAGGGATCCAAGCTTGTCTGTGACTCTCTTGTTATTCAAACATAATTACAGACTAAGAGGTGTCAGTGTTACACATTTTAAAAGCCCTTGAAATAATGAATGTTTTTTTGCACATGATAAAGTTACATTTAAAGAGAGATATTTCACAGTGATGTGATATTAACATGTAAAATGAGTTTTTTGTGATGTAAAGTTAACCGTCAGGAAACATTTCGGGCTTGTTTTTTTCATGTGGACAATGAGAAGATGCCAAGACCTCACACCATTCAATCCTTTAGATACAAGACTGTTAACAGTTCAATTCTATGTTTTATGTCACTTTGTCAATAAGCAAATAAACTTGGCCTGTGCTTTTGAAGACCTTACAGTTTGATTTGGATAGTTACACCCCCTGGATTTTGCTAATTAGGGGAGTTTGTTTGACCCCACACATGCAGGTGTTAAGTTGAATTTATTTTGTAAATTTAAGGCAGTTGTTTATTCTCGTGAGTTTTTTCAAGGAGATAATACTGGATAATTGCAAGAGAGAGTTCGTTCGTTTAAATAAAGAACCCTGAAAATTGCAATTATAATTGTTGTTTCCAAATAGGAGATAATGTTCTGCATAAAAAGAAATGTTGAAAACTTATATTCACTATTGAATTTTCCTCATGCAGGTTCAAAATTCTAGAGTCATCATTTAATTCTGGTTCATTCTTGGTTTTAGTAAATTACGTAAATTTCTTGAAAAAACCAACCTTTGTTTTTAATAGATTTGAAGTATGCTGTGACAATATTCCACCAAAAACTAATAACATGTACATAAATATTCAGTCTTAGTACAAATCTTTCATACACTAACATTAGAAATGAAAAAAAAAAATTAAATGGCAGCTTTACCATCTTAGAATAAGAGCAAATAAAAGATTTTAGTTTGAAATATGACAGACAAAAGGAGAAATATCATTGAATCTTGACCCTTATAATTAAGTGATGGCATTGGAGCCATGCAGAAGCAATGCCCCACCTATTGAGTAATGATGTTTATTTAGGTGTGTTGAGCATGTTTGTTACGACTGTCATATTGTCTCCGTTTTTTGTATGACTGAATCTCACATGTACTTAAATGGTGCTCAATGTTCAGAAATATTGGATAAATGTATATAATGATTTAAAATACCAGTATTGATCTTTCAATCTTTATAGGACCTAGATTTGGAAACAGTCATATCAATCCAAGTCCAGAGAATTATCCTGATAGCTGGCCAGGAAAGTGAAAGACTAGATTAAGGTGACACATGAATGTGACAATTAAAATTAAGATGAATATTGGACTTTTCTATCAAAATAGAACTCTGTAAATAACAAAATTAAGAAAAGATGTCTGCTTATTTCTTTATATAACAAAAATAAATGTTGCCTAATTTCACACAAAGGTAAGTTAATGATAATTACCATCAAAGAATTGAGGAAGCCCATACAGCCTTACGCCAATACGGGCATGTACACAAGTTTTGTATAGTTCAAGTTCACCATGCAGTATTGGACCACAAACAACTGATTTTAGAAGTAAGATTTCTCCTTTGAAAGTGAATATGACAGTTATTTATATAGATCCTGTGGTCCCTTTCACGCATTAATAAAATGTAGAGAGGGGACAGAGATATTAATGATGAGTTTTGTTCAGAGTTTGCTGATGATGGAATTAAGTTGAGTCCGTGAGTGATGACAGAGATTGTACCAGTCTAATGGATACAATGAACCTACATTTGGCATATCATTACCTTCTCCTAGACCATTTTCTTACTGATACCATCTGTACATTCAAATCAATTTCCTATGTGATTCATTTGTTCAGCAAATGTTTCAATTTTATTGCTTTAAAAAATGTTTTAGTGAAAGAAAAATAAGCTTGGTTTGAAGAAGTTTAACTATAGAACAGTTGAATCTTGAAAGCGGTATCATACAAAAGCTATCACTGACTTTAAAAGAATTTAAGTTGAAAGTACCAAGCAGTTGAAACAAACACATCAATGTCTAATTTCTATATGCAATAAAATCTGTAGGTGACACTGGGTATGAGAATATCAGGGTTATTTTACCAATGAATCTTTTTTTTCAAATTGTCTCTATATTTGTGTTTCTTGGGATAATATTACTAACTGTTGCAACAGTCTGTTAATATTCATAGGCATCGGAACCATGTGTGTGTGTTGGGGGGGGGGGGGGGGGGGGGGTAGGAGATGTTTAGCTCCCCTTTTTTTTTCAAAATTAGACATCATATAAGCATTGAAAATAAGGGCTAACCTTTTCTTGTTTGTTTACCCACCACCCCCGCCCCCACACCCCACTTTCAATTAGCCACCCCACTTTCAATTTGCTTCTGATGCTTATGATATTGATATATGCAGTTGCATGTTTGCAGAAATGTATAGTTGTCAGTAAACTTCCTATAATTCACCTCTTACAGTGACAACAGTTTTATGTTTGAAAGAACAGGGTGACCTGTTCCAATGGTTTCATTGATTTTTAGCCACAACTTGGTTATTGTAGGACTTTCATCCCACTGTATGTGGTTAATAAGTTCAATAAAGCTGCTCTGTCAATCAGAGCTAGAGTTTGCAGCTCATTAGCTCATTATCTGGGAGACTTGTGAGTTGAATGAGAGCATGTGAGCAACAACTGTAAAGAAGTGTAAGGATCACAGTATGAAATTAATGTGCTAATGGTCACTGGTTGAGGAAAAGATGTTAATGCACTCAGATCATGATCAAGTTCTTTGTGGTATATGATTTAATCAGCAAGTAAGGGATGAAAATGGGTAGTTTGCTATCTCTGGAAAGGGAAAATTGTAAAAGCATATTTGGATTAGGTCAATTTTTTGTTTAATCTGTGTACCAGTAATTCATTTATTTGATAAATAATTATTTATGGAGCAGTCCAAAAATTTGGTAAAATATCTATAGTCTGTCCCACCAAGTTACTGTAAGCACTTTTCGCATAAAATCTCAAAATATATAAATACCTTGGCTTTCAACCCAGTTCCGATCGATAGATCATTTTTTTTCCAACCTTCCGCCGTTTATCCGAACCCTCGAGGTCAACCAGTGTATACACACGGCGGCAAATTCAAAGTCTACGGAGATTTAACATTGTCAAAATGGCCACCACTTCGGAAGGGGATCATCCATTGTTCGTAATTTTCCGTACGTCGTCGTCAGTAAGGAAATGACGTCACACACGTTCGGGAGTGCTCTATGGTTATCGACGTCCGAAAAACCTATAACGCCCGAGACTTCCAAGTATATATTTATACTACAAGAAATATTACTTCTTCAACAAACTTTCATACCCAGACTGAGACCCAAGGGACCAAAGATTCATAAAAGGGTTAGTCACTGCATAAAGGCAAAGAGGTATGACTCAATTCATACATAACATTTCGATAGAATAATCGAGGCTAGGCTACTGCAAATTTAGCTCAAGTAAAATTAGTTTTATAATTTATAGCTAACACGTAACATTAGAGATCAATCAAAGTTATATCACTAGGATTAAGATTTTTAAAAATTATAATTGCTGCCTTACCTTAACGTTTCACCTTAGCTTTCCTTATAAATCCAACTCCTTTACGTTTGTTGAAAAACTGTAACACACGGTCAAAATAAGTCATAATATCGTTTCTGTGTCACAGTATGTGAACAAGTAATGTCCTCACATGCACATGCCACAGTATTTCTTGACTTTGTTATACTTCCAACTCTTTGAACTCATAAATCCTTCGTTGATATTTTATTTTTAATCTCGGTGCAAAACGTTTGTTGTCTGCATCAATTAAACTACGTCACCAATGAATTTTGACCTTGCCCTTCCAAACCTTCCTGTAATGTATCGGTGTTAGGTAAATTCAGACCCAGGATATACATTTTTGTTTACCTTAAATATAACAGAATTATACCAAAATTTAAAATATTCCTATACACATAAAATTAAAATACATAACGCAAGTGTGAAGGATTATGATTTTTTAAAATATATTATAATTTTTTCCTTTCTCTATTTCAATAAAACAATTTAACAGAAAGCCTTTTGATCTTTATGAGTTTTCAGAACAAAAATTTTCATTGCAGGAATCTGAATAGCTGCCTGGTGCAACTACAAGATAGAAAAGCACAAACATGTACATTATACATATTAAGCCATAAGTACCTGCAGATACATATATATTGAAGGTATGAAATAATGCAGGTTTCTTGAGTTTGATTTTTGAGTCCCAGCAATTTTTTTTCCTTTTGTATTTGTAAATTTTCAAAGTAAGTTTATTCATCGACAGTTCCCTAGTACGCAAACATGCATATATGCCTATATCATATACCTAGTAGTATATCAGCTCTGATACAGATGTTTTGGACTAGGTGAGACAGTGCCTTGTAAGGCCAAAAAAATAATTATCTTGTTTCCTGCTACCAGCCTGAAAAAAAATTGGGTAGGTAGGCAGGAAAATTATTTTATTTTTTAATTTCTTTTTATTTTCGATATGAACTAATACAAAACCAAATTAAACATGTCATAGACCAATATTTTCATTACAAATTAAATTTTATCTTTTGATGCATGACTCAAGTAGTATGTTATGAAAGTCCATATTTAAAACATATACTCGGTAGTATCATAAAATACTACGAAATACAAATAGGGCCACATAAAAAAATATTTTTATCTCGTAATTACGAGAAAAGATCTCGTTATAACAAGAAAAGATCTCGTTATTACGAGTTAATTATCTCGTTATTACGAGAAAAGATCTCGTAATTACGAGATAAAAATATTTTTTTATGTGGCCCTATTCGTCTTTCGTAAAATACCACTTGAATATACATTTTTTTTTTTTTTCAGGTTTACCGTTCAGAACATGGAACATGAAATTACAGAAATTCCAGATTTTTTCCAAACCTAAAAAACTGTAGGGTCAGGTGCGAAAAATTAAGGTAGGTTGGGTAACAGGAAACAAGACTATAATTTTTTTGGACCTGAGTACAGCTGTCTCTCCCTAGGGGCTGAGATATCTCTGTCTCGGCCCATTGTCATGGTGCTGTCTTGCCCTCAAATGTCAAATCATTATTTCTGTTTGTGTGAATTAAGAGTAAAATTCATATTTAAGTAAGAGATTTTATATCAAAAATTTGTCTAGATATGAACACAGATGTTGTGAATTCACAGATATAGCGAGGTAACCTTGGATCCCCAGCTATGTAAATGTAATGAATTCCTTATACGGATAAAACAAATTATGGTTATAGCAAAGTATTTTCATAGGTCCCATTGACTTTTCTTTAACAGAGTTTTACTATATAAGGTTAACATTTCGACTTTCTACAAGACCTTTCTGAGAACTTCAAACAACCTTAAAGGACATTGAGAAGTTATAAACATTATCATGATAAAATAAAAACTGTTGCATGAAGAGATTTAATTTTTCAAGATTCATTTTGAGATTCTGAATTAAATTATAAATTAAAGAATTATCCTTCTTGGATGAGAATCCAAGTACCTTAACAGATTTTTAATAAGTCTTGTAAAATTATAAATGCTTGAACCATAAAACAGCTTTAGATTATAGGATAAACCAGTTTGTTTGCACTGTTTTTATCGTTTTATTAAGTAAAATTTAACAATATTTTAAAAGATAAATGAATTGTTTATCCTATATTTAAGGATATTAGAACAAAATAAGAAGAATAATTGTCAAGTGCCCACTGATGCTGGAGTCCATGCTGTAGAAAAGACATGAAACAGAAGTGAGAAGATGTCGACATCAGTCATCTATGAAGATGGAGATTGCCTCTATTCTAAAATTTCCGAGGAAAATGGTGTTGTCTGCCTCATCCAATGATCACTCCATTTGCAGACTACCAGGTAATCTTTGATTTTGTCAATACTTTGTGCCTGAAAAAAAATTAATGATAAAACATTTTAAATCGTCATAAAGATTTCAGTGCATAAAAATACTTTTAAATTTGTGCAAAGTGAAATATAAAGATACAATAAAAATTCAGATTGTGCTCATCATATTAATATGAATTGTTTACTTATCAAAAATACATATACTTGGTCAATTCTCATTTTCAGGTTTCAATCTGAGGTATACATAGGAAGAGCAAAATCTTTCTCATTCATACAATGTAAACACTTACAACCTGTGATCCAGAAAAATGTCCTGATTGTTTAGTCCAACATAAGATGGATTTCAATTTGACACGTTATTCTGAAAAATTGAGTGAACAGTGCAGG